TAAATCACCAGGCCACCACATCTGCCATATCGCTTACATGCTCCGCCGTCGCCTTCGCGCATCGCATGAATGGCGAGCCCTCTCCCTCGACTGGACCATTTACACTACAAGTGCGCGAATTTGCCAAACGCCATGGCCCGCGCCCCACGCGGAACAAGGAACCTTTGTCGCTGCACCAAGTTCACACCATGGCCCGCCCCTTTCTGGAGTCCACCCGGCCGGCCGAATACCAGAAAGGACTCATCCCCATCCTTATGTTCGCCGCCTTCCTACGCTACTCCGACCTCATCAGTCTCCAATGGCATGACATACAGTTTGAGCCTGAGGCGATGTGGTTGCTCATCTCGCACTCCAAGACCGACCAGGAAAGCAGGGGCACGTGGATTCCGGTCGCCGCCACTTCCGGCCCATACTGGCCGGTACGCTGCACACGACACTTTCTTCTCCTCGCGGGTCACACCTCCACCCCACACGGGCCATTGATCCGAGTCTTCGGGAACAGCAGTACAGCAACTCCACAAGACCACGCACCTTGGTACACCACCATCCGGAACTGGTGCCTTGAAGCATTCACCTGGGCCGGCCTCGATAGCGCACACCTCGGCACCCATTCCTTTCGCAAGGGCGCTGCTACAGCGGCAGTCAGCCTGGGGATATCCGACCGGCTGTTCAAGCGACTTGGCCGTTGGCGCAGCGATCAGGGCCTCAGATAGGAATTCTAGCATCCTGATCACTCAGGGCTGACCGCTTCTATGCATACTGATTCCTCAGGGTGATTCCCAAGTTCTATACTATATGTGTATCTCTTATGCTTTGCATAAACTGTATAGGGTCACCTCTTAGAGGGTACAACACTTAAATATATTCCCTGTACTCTCCCGCTCTGATACCATATCAAATGGAATGAATGATAATAGAGAGGGAGAGTACAGGGAATATATCTAAGTCTTGTACCCTCTAAGAGGTGACCCTATACAGTCTATGCAAAGCACCCCCAGCAGCCGCAGGTTTCGCCGACCCGCCTTTGGACTGGGTCACCTGGTGACGCGTCTGCGTTCCGCGTTTGGGGCTGCCTTGCTCACGTCCGTGCCTCCGGCACGGACAAGCTCACTGCCCGCACCCTTCCCTGCGTCTTCCTAGGTTTTCCCCTTGACCCGTCCGACTGGCACTTCTACCACCCGCCGTCTCACCGCTTCTTTCACTCTCGCGACGTCACCTTTGACGAGTCCGTCTCCTTCTACTGTCGCTTTCCCCACCGCGGTCCCCCGGTTACCCCCGCCCCGTTCCTGGTCACTCCTTCCCCGGTGGTCCCTGCCCCCCTCCCTCCTCCTCCCCGTCCTGCCCCCTCTGGTGTGTCCCACGTCACACCTCTCCCGTCGGTTGTACCGGTTGAGGGGTCTTCTGACTATGGTGGTCCTGCGGCGCAGTCCTCGCCATCTGCCCCTCCCCAGGTGTCTCCTCCTCCACCGCCTTTGCAGCCGCCGTCGCCTCTGCTGTCACCGCCGTCGTCCCCGCAGCTGCCGCCGCCGTCGCAGCAGCCGTTCGTTGCCTCTGGGGGTGCTGGCGTTGGAGTGGGTCCTAGCCCCGGTGGCCCTCGGGGTGGTGCTGGTGCCCGAGGGGTTTCGGGCCCTGGGAGTGTTCCTTCTGGGGGTGCTGGAGTGGAGTCTTCCGGTGGTACCCGAGGAGCAGCTTGCGGTCCCGGTGTTGGCGTTGTGCCGCCGCAGCCGCAGTCCCCGCCAATGTCTGCCCTTTGCCTGCTCGGCCTTCCGTCCCTGACCCTGTGTCCGTTCCTCTCCTCCCGTCTCCTCCTCTTCCCGTTTACGGCCCTGTGTTCCCTCCGCCGGACTCGTCCCCGGCTCGTCTTGTCCCTCGCTCTCCCCTTGTGTTCCCTCCTCTGTCTCCTGACCCGACTCCTTCGTCTCACGTCTTGTCTCGCCGTCCCTCCCGTGCTCGCCCTGTCTCCCCGGTCACGCGCTCTCAACCTATGTTGCTTCGGTCCCACGCGTCTCGTCCTCCCCTTCTCCCGTCCCCTCCTCCATCCTCCCTTGTCGTTGCTCCCCCCCTTTGTCTGACTACCTTCGTACCACCCGTCCTCTCGTTCCTCGGGTCCTTGCCTCTCTCGTTACCGACCCGTCTGTTCCGGTCTCGTGCCTTGACGCTCTTGTCACTGCGGTCGCTGACTTTGTCTCTACCCGCCGCCTTGACTACGCCACCGCTCTGGTCTCTGACCTTGCCTGTCATCCGTCTGTCGGGGGTGCTCCTGCCCTCGGCAGTGACGTCCTGGAGGACCGCCAGTTCGAGCTTGCTTTCCTGTCCGAGGCTGCTCCCCATCTCTGTTCCATGCTGCTAGTCCCTGAGGGTGACCCAGACGCTTTCGACATCCCGACCCCTCGCACTTACGCTGAGGCGACCTCGGGACCCTGGGCCTCCCAGTGGATAGCTGCCATGGAGCAGGAGATGGCATCTTGGAGATCCGCCGGCACCTTCGTCAACGTAGTTCCCCCACCTGGGGTGAACGTAGTCGATGGCCGCTGGCTCTTCAAGGTGAAGTGCCCTCCTGGAGAGCCGCCTATATTCAAGGCGTGCTACGTGGCTAGAGGCTTCAGTCAGCGCGAGGGGGTGGACTTCTTCCAGACCTTCGCTCCGACCCCGAAGATGACTACTCTTCGGGTTCTGCTACACTTAGCAGCTCAGCGTGACTACGAGCTTCACTCCCTCGACTTCTCCACAGCGTTTCTTCAGGGCAGCCTACACGAGCAAGTCTACCTGCGTCGCCCTCAGGGCTTTACTGGCACCTTCCCTCCTGGGACCCAGTGGCTCCTGCGGCGTCCCGTCTACGGCCTGCGGCAGGCTCCTCATGAGTGGCACGACACGCTGCGTGCTACTCTAGCTGACCTTCAGTTCTTTCCGTCCTCGGCAGACCCCTCACTCTTCGTTCGTGCTGGCCAGACTCCGTTCTACATCCTTGTGTACGTCGACGATTTGGTCTTTGCCACAGCAGGCAGGGACGCACTGGCCTCCGTGAAGGCAGAGCTGCTGAAGAGACACACTTTCACTGACCTTGGAGAACTGCGCCGTTACCTTGGCTTGCAGATCTCCAGGGACAGAGCAGCGTGCACCATCACATTAACTCAATCACACTTGGTGCGCCAGGTCCTTCAAAGGTTCGGCCTTCAGTTCTCCTCTGCACAGCCCACCCCTCTGCCTCTAGCCCACAGACTCTCAGCTCCAGTTCCTGAGGAGTCAGTAGAGCCCAGTGGTCCTTACGCAGAGCTGGTGGGTTGCCTCATGTACCTGATGACTTGCACTCGCCCTGATCTCGCATACCCTCTCAGCATCCTGGCTCGCTTTGTGGCCACTGGCAGACACCGACCGCAGCACTGGTCTGCCGGTAAGGGGGTTTTGCGTTATCTTGCGAGTACATCGGGCATGCGGTTAGTGCTAGGAGGACGCAGGCCAGTGGTCCTTACTGGACACACAGATGCTTCGTGGGCGGATGACGCTGAGACACTCAGGTCTTCCCAGGGCTACTGCTTCAGCCTTGGTTCAGGTGCCGTCTCGTGGAGAGCTACCCGCTCCTCATCTGTTGCCCAGTCCAGCTGTGAGGCCGAGATCTACGCTGGTGCCATGGCGGCACAGGAGCTCTACGCTGGCTGACATTCTTGCTTACTGACTTAGGTGAGCGGCCTAGCTCTGCCCCGGTCCTGTACGCTGACAACAGGGCCATGATCCTCCTGTGTTAGAAGCCTCGACTCGAGGGCAGAGCGAAGCATATTCAGCTGCGGTACTTCCTCCTGCGCGAGCTACAGCAGCGCCGCCAGGCTCGCGTAGTACACCTGGCCTCCGGTGCCAACACAGCTGATATCTTTACGAAGGCGCTTGCGTCTAAAGATCATCAGCGGCACTGTGTACTGCTCGGTCTAGTTCCTAGTAGTGCCGCCCTGAGCTGCTTGTTCAGGACCTGCCCCTATGCAGTCTAGGGGGTGTGTCAAACATGTGTATCTCTTATGCTTTGCATAGACTGTATAGGGTCACCTCTTAGAGGGTACAACACTTAGATATATTCCCTGTACTCTCCCTCTCTATTATCATTCATTCCATTTGATAAAATTCTGGTACGCTGAAAAACTTGCCCAACGTTATTCAATAGCAGCAGCAGCACATTACAGAACACCAGTTTTCATGCATGTTGTGCTGCCAACCGCTTGAGCAGCAGCGCGCCATGGCAGCAAAGTGTCAGCGCTTCATGTGGTGATGGCTTGCTGCAGTGCACTTGGCAAACTGACCAAGACGTGAGAGCTAAGGCAGCAAACAAGGGGAAAACAAGGGGTACCCCCATGGTGCATATAAATCAGGGTTATCCCCGAAGGCATACTGACAGTTCAGGGCTGGTACACTAACTCTAAACTAAAATTACAGGGTGAGAAGTGGGATTAAACTGAAAACTCAGGACTGGCACCTAACTTCCATCATGAAAATCAGGAATTCATGATAAAACATCCTGAAATCAGAGGCCCTGGCAGCGATAATGCCAAGGAGCTCTACGTTACCATCGCGCATGACCAACTCCTTCAAGCCTCCATGCAACTCCAAGACGCAGCCACCGCTCCCACGCCCAATCAGCACCAGCTATCTATTGAACGCCACCGCCAACCCCTTCTGCACATGTCTCAGAAGACCCAGATGAAATGAAGCACGCTGCCTTTACAAGAGGACCTAAGCAAGCTTTCACAATATGTATTTTTTTGTAAGTGTGTAGCACTTTCTAAAAATGTGTATTGTGAGAGTGTAGCGAGGGCCAACGCAGCAAAGGCAGCGACGAAGCGCTACTCACCCTCTTTTGCCTACAAAAGAGGGACGCGAGGCCACTCGGCCTCACCCACGTTCTTCATTTCTAGTTTCTCTAGTTCAATTTCCCCGCCCACCCACCCTCTTGTGTGTAGTTCTTTGTTGGACGAGAACCGTGTATGTTTCCCAGATGAAATGAAGCACGCTGCCCCAGATGAAATGAATCACGCTGCATTTACAAGAGGACCTAAGCAAGCTTTCACAATGATTTGTTAGCTAGATCGGAAGCTGTGGGAGTTTTTTCACTAACATCGCCATTTCTGTTGAACGTACCCTATAGGCTACAGCACACCCAACCCAACATCTTGGCTCCTCCAATGCTGGTGTGGTGTCACTCACATCACATACCGTGATGGATAGGCGAAAAGGGAGCATCACAAAGCCAGCCAGTGAGTAATCACCTTTTCTTGGAAGTGAGCCTCCTATTTGCGCGGTATGCTCCTATAGCATTCATACAAGCACAGTGTGTCAGTTGATGCCTTCCCCACGTCACGCCTTCACCAGGTACTGTCTCAGCACCCTCTCCAGAGCAGCCTTGCTGACTGGCTTGGACATGTAGTCTGCAGGGGCAGGGAGGGGAGTAGTGGTGGAGCAAGAGAGGAACAACAGCGCAAGGAAGACGCATGGGAAAGGGAGGAATAGGATCATATTATCATGGGAATATTACGTGCACGTCTGGTAGCATGTGATTAAAGCAGTTTGTGTAATGGGCCCGAGAGGAGGGAAGGTGATGCTGGCAAGGCAGTGCACCTGCATGCGAGGAGTGGCTCCTGCTGACAGCATGGTGGGGCAGGCATCAATGCCCAACCCTCTCGCCTGTGTACCTGCAGCGGGCAGAACGCACACCTGAAGCCTGCATGCTCTCACCTGTCATGCCCGCAGCCAGGCACTGCTCCCTGTCGCCCTTGAGAGCATTGGCCGTCTGGAATTGGGGTGATTGCGATGCAGGGAGCGGGAGGTTGGATGAGGAGAGACTGGTGCCAGGGGCTTTCTAGAGAGGCATGTATGAGAGGCTTGTATGAGAGGCATGTATGAGAGGCATGTATGAGAGGCATGTATGAGAGGCATGTATGAGAGGCATGTATGAGAGGCATGTATGAGAGGCATGTATGAGAGGTATGTATGAGAGGCATGTATGAGAGGCATGTATGTGAGGCGAGGGGAGTTGAGAATAGAGAGAGTGGCGTACAAGACAGGGGAGAGACGCATATGGAGAGCGCACAGGGGAATAATGTAAAGTAAGTAGGACGGAAAACACGGAGGGGGGGGAGGACGCATGAAGATGAGGGAGGGAGAGGGGAGAGAGGGCCCTACGAGAGCGACGATGGTGACGGGCGGCTGTGCCTGCTGTGCCTCGAGCTCCCTTATCCTGCGACTGGCCGCCCACCCATCCATCTCCGGCATCTGAGCACACGAACATGTGTGTGAGACCGACAGTGCGAGCATGTGTGTATGATACGGGTGGGCCATGCGGGCGAGTAAGCATGAACATGGAAGAAGCACAGCACCAGAATAGTAGCTGTGCTGAGTAGCTGTAGCTGCCTAAACCTGGCAGTCCACGAGGATAAGGCTGCTGACCTGGCAGTCCATGAGGATAAGGCTGCTGACCTGGCAGTCCATGAGCACGAGGTTGTATTTGTTCTTCTGGAAGAGGCTGACCGCCTCCACGCCATTGTTGGCGATGTCGATCGTCACCCCCAGCTGCGCCAGCATGGACTTGGCCACCTTCTGGTTGATCTGTGATGGGGGACGCGGCACAGGAGAGGACGGGGGGACACGATGGGAGCAAGATGAGCTGGGGGCATGATGGGAGCAAGATGAGCTGGGGGCATGATGGGAGCAAGAGGGGTGTGGCGATGTCGATGCTCCCCCCCAGCTGTGCCAGCATGGACTTGGCCACCTTCTGGTTGATCTGCACTGAAGGGGGGAGGCGCAGCAAGGAAAGAGAGAGAAGGGGCAGTGGAACCATGCAAGCCGAACGCTTGCACACCCGAGTGTGCTGCATTGCCAGATGATGAGGCGAGTGCGGGGTGCTCAAGGGACTGGAGGAGGAGTGGTGCACACCACGCACAACCCCAGCTGTGCCCGCATGGACTCGCCCCACAAGCGCACGGCGCACGCACTGCACCCTAGTACCTCCATAAAGTCAGCCCCACCACCCTCGCCTTTCGCCAGGTTGTCCTCTGCCAGCAGTATCCGCCCGTTCCGCAGCCCGCTTGAGTCCCGTGCTCCTGGCGGCGGGCCAGGGATGCTGCCTGTGGAAAGTGCACACACCGTACCCAAGCATTCAATCAAAGCCCTGCCACCCTGCCGACCCACCACCCTCGCCACCCACCAGGTTGTCCTCGGCCAGCAGTATCCGTCCGCTCAGCTTGGGCCCCGTGCTCCTCGCAGCGGGCCGCGGCTGCTGCCTGCGCCGCCCCGACGACTGGAAGAGCCCCTCGCCACCCGGTGTGCTCTGCATGGCCGACTCCATGGCCTCTAGCAGGGCCTTGGGGCGCACCTGCAGGGCATTGGGGGGTCGGAACGGGAGGGGGAAAGACTCAGAAGGACAGCACGACAAGGCCCCTCGCCCCCGGGGGCGCTCTGCATGGCTGACCCCATGGCCTCAAGTAGGGCTTCGGGGCGCACCTGACAGGCACTGGGGGGAAGGAGGGATAGGTAATGAGGATGGCTGCATACTTACAGCCCCTCACCCCCGGGGGTGCTCTGCATGGCCGACTCCATGGCCTCTAGCAGCGCCTTGAGAAGGGCCTGGACTGGACGCATGAGGAGCAGAGAAGAGGGGGAAGAAGGGCCTTCCGAGTGCTTTGAGCACAGCCGAGCAAGAAAACGTCACCTCTAGCAGAGGTGAGCACTGTCACACTGTAGCACCCCACTGTACCACTGTGTCATGTCACACTGTAGCACCCCAACCCATCCCAGCCTCCTCACCATGTGGCTATCACCCCTACCATCCCCTGCCTTCCATGGGCTTGTTGAGCATGGCGGGCATCGGTGCCTACCATGGGCTTGTTGAGCATGGCGGGGCATCGGTGCCTACCATGGGCTTGTTGAGCATGGCGGGGCATCGGTGCCTACCATGGGCTTGTTGAGCATGGTGGGACATCGGTCCCGCCAGTTGCGCACGGCCTTGAGCTCGGCTTCTGTCTTCTCCGTTATCTGCGACCGCTTCAGCAGCACCACCACGCCCACGCGGTCCTTCCCTAGCATCTCCAGCACCGCCTGGGGGGGGGAGGGCGCACAGCACGGCACAAAGACAAGGACGTGCCAGGGGCATGGGACAGCAGCACCACCACGCCCACGCGGTCCTTCTCTAGCATCTCCAATACCGCCTGGGGGGGGGGCAGTTTGGGGGAGAGAAGGGAGAAGAGAGAGCGAGGGGACAGTGGGAATGGGGAGAATTGGAGGAGCGCAGGAAGATCCCTGGATTCACCATCGTGTAAAGAAAAGACAGAAGGCGCATTTATAGTGGAAATGGGGTGAGTGTGCTTAGTTCTATTTTTGAGGCACCTAAAAAAAAAAAAAAAAACCCACGCACCGAGGACATGGGGTCGGTGAGCTGCGGCTTGTTGGAGAAGTCCACCACGATCAGATCGTAGTCCTCCGCCAGGCCCTTCCGTGACGACCCGTCACGCCACGTGGCGGGCGCCGGTTGGCCGGGCGGCAGGGGCGGCGTGGGCGGCAGCGTGCCGCCCGGGAGCATCTTGAGAAATGCGTCTTCTGGCGAGCAGGTGAGGCAGGCGTGCGGCACCCTCCACGCCTCGAGCTGCTTCTGCATGGCGCACGTGGTCACCTGATATAGGAAAGGTAAAGGGTGGGGGGATGGAAGGGGAGGAGGCACCAGAGTGGGTGGCAGGCGTGCGGCACCCCCACGCCTCGAGCTGCTTCTGCATGGCGCACGTGGTCACCTGAGAAAGAACGATGATTGACGAGGGTGGGATGGGGAGGGTAGGGAGAGGGAGGGGGAGGGGGGGGGCGGATATCGGAATGAAGGGCGAGCTGCGGAAGACAGGGAGAGGAATTGTAGAGTGGGGACGGAGCGAGGATGGTTGGATTGCAGGAATTGTAGAGGGGGGACGGAGCGAGGATGGTTGGATTGCAGGCGCGAGAGGCGCGACTAAAAGAGGCGATTCACGATTTGATTCACCTCGAGCGGGCTGACGAGCAGCATGCTTGACTCACCTCGAGCGGGCTGACGAGCAGCACGCGGATGGCCTGGAACTCAGACGGCACCACCAGCGGCACGGGCAGCGGGCCCGATGACGTGGGCAGCGCCTTGGACGGCGTCCCAGCAGCAGGGGACGAGGCGGAGTCAGGGGAGTGCATGGAGGACGGCAGGGCGGAGTGCGCGGAGGGGGTGGAGGGCGGATTGAGCGGCGGGTTGAGTGCCGCGACGGCGGCGTAGGCCGGGTGGTGCGTGTTGACGGGCAGGCGCACGGTGAAGGTGGAGCCGACGCGGAACTCGCTGTGCACGGAGATGCGGCCGCCCATCAGCTCCACCAGCTGCTTCGATATCGCCAGCCCCAGACCCGTGCCGCCGAACCGCCTGGTGGTGGACGCGTCCACCTGAGGCGGAGGGGGGGTAGGGAAGAAGCGAGGCAGAAGAACTCAGGGATCGTAACACGTGACAGAGGCTGCGGAAGAGGGAATTCGGTGAGTCTAAGTCTTGGAATCTTGGGGGCTGAAACGGTGGCAGGGCAGAGAAAGGACCCACCCACCTGAGAGCAGCCCCCACCCACCTGGGAGCAGCCCCCACCCACCTGAGAGCAGCCCCCCCCCACTTGAGAGCAGCTCCCACCCACCTGAGAGCAGCCCCCCCTCCCCCTGAGAGCAGCCCCCACCCACCTGAGAGAATTTGGTGAAGAGGCGGCCGATGCGCTCCTTGGGAATACCGATGCCCGTGTCGCTGACGTGGCACACCCAGTACAGCACGCCCGCCGCTTCCTCCTGCGCGGATGCCGCCGCCGCCGCTGCTGCTGCCTCCCGCAGCCGTGCTGCCCCCAACCCAGATACTCCAACCAGGTTTCCTGACGCCGTGCGAGCAGGGCTGTTAGTACCATTGTGTCCACTGGGGTCTCTGAAAGGCGACCCACACGCACCCCCTGCAGCCCCAGCAGGCGCAGCAGAATTGGCGGCGGAAGAAGCCGAAGGCGGAGCAGGGAGTTGCAGCGTGCAGGGCGTGCCCATCTCCGCCTCCAAGCGGAACTTCACATACCCCTTCTCCGTGAACTTGATCGCATTCGACACCAGGTTGATCAGCACCTGCAGCGTGCGCCCTGCGTCCCCGACCAGAAACACCGGCGTGTCCGGCTCGATCTCAATCACTATATCCAGCCCCTTAGACTCGGCATTGTGAATCAGCAGCTCCGCTACCCTCTCGACGGCCTGCACGACGTTGAAGAGCGTCTGCTCCATGTCGAGCTTGCCGGACTCGATCTTGGAGTAGTCGAGGATGTCGTTGATGATCTGCAGCAGCATGTCGCCCGAGTCGCGGATCGTCACCACGCGGTCGCGCTGCTCGGGGGTCAGGTCCGTGTCGAGGAGCAGCGCCGTCATGCCCACCACCCCGTTCATGGGCGTGCGGATCTCGTGCGACATCGTGGCCAGGAAGTCTGGATGGGCATGGGGGGGGAGGGAGGGTATGAGGGTAAGAGGAGTAGAGGCGTCAATCATCGCCTGCATACATATGCCCTGACCCAAGTACTACCCGCCCCCCCCCCCCCCCCCCCCCCCCCCCTTCTTCACCTGATTTGGCGCGAGAGACTCGCTCCGCCTCGTCCTTGGCTTCAATCATCACCTGCTCGAACGAATTCCTATCAATAATATCCATGTGCATGCCCACGAACCAACCTCCAGCCCTCTATTGCCTCTACCTCAATAGCCTCCCCCCTCACCTGCTTTGGCGCGGGACACGCGCTCCGCCTCGTCCTTGGCCTCAATCATTGCCTGCTCGAACATCTTGCGGTCTGTGATGTCGGTGTGCGTGCCCACGAAGCGCAGCGGCTCGCCGTCGTCCGTCTTGGAGAGCAGCTTGCCGCGGTGCAGGAACCAGCGGTACGTGCCGTCCTTGCAGCGCAGGCGCTGCTCGTTCACAAACTGCGCCGTCACGCCGTCCAGGTGCTCCTTGAGGTCTGCGTACGCGCGGTCCCTGTCCTCTGCATGCAGCAGGCGCTCCCAGTCGTCCAATGTGGACCCGATGTCGCCAGGCTCGTAACTGGGAGAGGGGAGAGGGTGAGGAGGACGAAAGTTGGGGAGGGGAAGTGAGGGGCGGTGACGGAGGGAGGGGTCCAGGTGCTCCTTGAGGTCCGCATACGCGCGGTCGCGGTCCTCCGCGTGCAGCAGGCGCTCCCAGTCGTCCAATGTAGACCCGATGTCGCCCGGCTCATAGCTGGGAGGGGCATGGATAGAAGGAGCGGAGGTTGACCATACGGGCAGGAATGGGAATCCGAATTCAGTGCCTGCCCCCTCACTGCCCCCTCATTGCCCCCTCACTGCCCCCTCACTGCCCCCTCACTGCCCCCTCACTGCCCCCTCACTGCCCCCTCACTGCCCCCTCACTGCCCCCTCACTGCCCCCTCACTGCCCCCTCACTGCCCCCTCACTGCCCCCTCACTGCCCCCTTACTGCCCCCCGCCCCCTGCCCACCGGCCACCGGCCACCGGCCACCACCCCCGCCCCCCGCCCCCCGCCCCCTGCCCCCTGCCCCCTGCCCACTGCCCACTGCCCATTGCTCAGCCCGTGCGTCCTCTTCTTGATTTGGCTTTCACTCACCCCAGCATCTGCTTCCAGCGGTCGGAGAAGAACATGGTGTTGTCTCGCACATTCCAGTCCCACACACCGTCATCGCTGCCCGACAGCGCGTACAGCCACCGCTCCTCGCTCTCCTGCGCACACACGAGGGCGTGTGGCAGTGTGAATGGGTAGGGGCAGGGCAAACATGTGCAGGAGTGAGTGGTGAGACGATATGGCCCACACGCCTCCACCGCTGCCCGACAGCACGTACAGCCACCGACAGCACGTACAGCCACTGCTGTCCGACAGCAGCAGATCGTCCTCTCACCTTGGGCATGGCAATCCAAATCCAAAGGAGGGAGATCGTCCTCTCACCTTGGGCACGGCAATCCAAATCTGAAGGACGAAAATCCTCTTCTCACCTTGACCTGCTTCTCACCTTGACCTGCTTCTCACCTTGAGCTTCTTCTCACCTTGAGCTTCTTCTCACCTTGAGCTTCTTCTCACCTTGAGCTTCTTCTCACCTTGAGCTTCTTCTCACCTTGAGCTTCTTCTCACCTTGAGCTTCTTCTCACCTTGAGCTTCTTCTCACCTTGAGCTTCTTCTCACCTTGAGCTTCTTCTCACCTTGAGCTTCTTCTCACCTTGAGCTTCTTCTCACCTTGAGCTTCTTCTCACCTTGAGCTTCTTCTCACCTTGAGCTTCTTCTCACCTTGAGCTTCTTCTCACCTTGAGCTTCTTCTCACCTTGAGCTTCTTCTCACCTTGAGCTGCTTCTCACCTTGAGCTTCTTCTCACCTTGAGCTTCTTCTCACCTTGAGCTTCTTCTCACCTTGAGCTTCTTCTCACCTTGAGCTTCTTCTCACCTTGAGCTTCTTCTCACCTTGAGCTTCTTCTCACCTTGAGCTTCTTCTCACCTTGAGCTGCTTCTCACCTTGAGCTTCTTCTCACCTTGAGCTGCTTCTCACCTTGAGCTTCTTCTCACCTTGAGCTTCTTCTCACCTTGAGCTTCTTCTCACCTTGAGCTTCTTCTCACCTTGAGCTTCTTCTCACCTTGAGCTTCTTCTCACCTTGAGCTTCTTCTCACCTTGAGCTTCTTCTCACCTTGAGCTGCTTCTCACCTTGAGCTGCTTCTCACCTTGAGCTGCTTCTCACCTTGAGCTGCTTCTCACCTTGAGCTGCTTCTCACCTTGAGCTGCTTCTCACCTTGAGCTGCTTCTCACCTTGAGCTGCTTCTCACCTTGAGCTGCTTCTCACCTTGAGCTGCTTCTCACCTTGAGCTGCTTCTCACCTTGAGCTGCTTCTCACCTTGAGCTGCTTCTCACCTTGAGCTGCTTCTCACCTTGAGCTGCTTCTCACCTTGAGCTGCTTCTCACCTTGAGCTGCTTCTCACCTTGAGCTTCTTCTCACCTTGAGCTTCTTCTCACCTTGAGCTTCTTCTCACCTTGAGCTTCTTCTCACCTTGAGCTTCTTCTCACCTTGAGCTGCTTCTCACCTTGAGCTGCTTCTCACCTTGAGCTGCTTCTCACCTTGAGCTGCTTCTCACCTTGAGCTGCTTCTCACCTTGAGCTGCTTCTCACCTTGAGCTGCTTCTCACCTTGAGCTTCTTCTCCGCCTCAAGGCGCTCGGAGATGTCTCTGAGCACGGCGACGTAGAACACCGTGTCGTACGTGCCCTTGGACAGCGAGATCTCGAGCGGGAACGTGCTGCCGTCCGTGCGGAACCCCGTGCCCTTGTGCACCTGCCCCGACGCGTGGTCCAGGCCTGGAGGGAGAGCGGGAGACACTTCAGCTTGAGTCTAGTTTTGAGGCGCCTCAAAACTACACTCCAGCCCTGAAGGGAGAGCGCGAGACACTTCAGCTTGAGATGCCTCAGGGAGCAAGAGGGCACGAGAGGGCATGAGAGGGCATGAGAGGGCATGAGAGGGCATGAGAGGGCATGAGAGGGCATGAGAGGCATGAGAGGGCATGAGAGGGCATGAGAGGGCATGAGAGGGCATGAGAGGGCATGAGAGGGCATGAGAGGGCATGAGAGGGCATGAGAGGGCATGAGAGGGCTTGAGAGGGCTTGATAGGGCTTGAGAGGGCACGAAATAGAGAGTAAGAGGGCATATGAGCCATATCATGCCTTCCGGCCACAGCATCTCCCTGTGGCCATGTCTCTCCAACCACCAGTGAGTCCTTGCACTGCAGGTTGGCGGGGGCGGCCCTTGAGACGTATCAATCTCAATCAAACACCAGAGCACGCCACTCAAGCCCCACCGCTCACCTCCTGGCGAGAGCATCTCGCGGTGCCCATCGATCTCCACCAGCAGGTCCTTGAGCTGCAGGTTGGTGGGGGCCGCCACGCCCTCCCTGGTGCTGCCGGGCAGCGGCACGTCCCCCGGCTGCGCGAAGCCAAACATCTGCCGGGCGGACAGGTTCATGGAGGTGACGTGGCCGCTGTGGGACAGCGACATTATGCCCTCCTTCGCCACCTGGGGGGGGGGGGGGGGGGGGGGGGGGTTTCGGGGGAAATAAGTGGGTGGCGGGCCGTGGGGAGTTGGATGAGGGAGGGTAAAAATGTGGCGGGCTAAGGGTTTCATGGAGGTCATGTGGGCGCTGTGGAACAGCGACATTATGGCCTCCTTCACCACCTGAAGGGGAGTCAGAAGAGGGAAGCCAGACATTGGCGCACCAACAGGTTCATGGAGGTGATGTGGGCGCTGTGGGACAGGGACGTGACGTGATGCCCTCTTTGGCCACCTGGGGGCGTGAACGGGGGGGGGTGGGGGGGACAGGCAGTGGGAAGTCAGATGGAGAAGCCAGGGGGGTGTACAGGGGCTGATAGGTCCATTGAGGTCGCGTGGCCACTGTGAAACAGCGACCTGACATGATGCCCTCCCTCCTGGTGGGTGGTGGGGCATGCAGATGCACAAGGCAGCGAGTGAGTGGAAAATGAGAGGGGGTGGCGAAGAGAGCACTGGAGACACTGCAGCAATGAGCCGCACGGCACATAAAGCGGACCACTGAAAGAAGCACACGCCTCACCACTCTCATTCACCGCCGCGTACATCATCCGCCCACGCGCGCAATCGTCATTGTGAGTGGCACTATCTCTCAGCTCACACCCTGCCATCCCCCTCCCCCGGCTCACCTTCACCGCACTGGACAGGCGCAGCTCCGCCTCCTTCCTGCGCTTCCGCTCGTTGACAGCATAGATCACCTGAGCGATGGTCATGGTGAGCGGCTGTATCCCTCCCCATTCACACCTAAGCAACAACACCTGCTTCCTTCGCTCACCTGCACCACGCTCGACAGGTGCAGCTCCGCCTCCTTGCGCCTCTTGCGCTCGTTGACGGCATAGATCATCTGCGCTATGGTCATGGTGAGCGGCTCGATCTCCTTCACCAGCTCCTCGCTGTACCCCGCCGCTCGGTTCGCCACGGCAAACACGCCGATGAGCTCAGTGCCGGTGTACAGAGGGATGCCCATGAACTGGTTGATGGCCGGGTGCCCGGGGGGCACGCCCCTCGCACGAGGGTCATTGCGGGCGTCGTTGGTGATCACCTGCGATCAGAAGCACGTCCAGACAGGGGAAGGTACGTTTGTGAGGCGCGATTGGTGGCAGCAAAGACCCCGATTGGACGGTGGATGGTGGACGGTGGACCGTGGACGGTGGACGGCGTCCACCGGTGGGCAATGCACAGGGGGATGCCCATGAACTGGCTGATCGGCGGGTGGCCTGTTGGGACGCCTCTAGCTCTGGGGTCGTTGCGCGCGTCGTTCGTTATCACCTGATAACAACATCAAAGGGCGGGGGGAGGCAGGGTTGTGAGGTGGTGCTTTGGCGGCAAACACCCCGATGAGCTCGGTGCCGGTGCACAGGGGGATGCCCATGAACTGGCTGATGGCCGGGTGGCCGGGGGGCACGTCCCTCGCCCTGGGCTCGTTGCGCGCGTCGTTGGTGATCACCTGCGCGCAAGAGCTCGTTAGGAGAGGGGAGGGGAGGGTGCGTCTAAAGAGGGTGAGGTGATGCAACTTGGACCGCAAGGACCCTGATGAGCTCCGTGCCCGTCCACAGGGGGGAGCCCATGAAGCGATCACGCGGGCGCGAGGTGACTTTTGAGTCGACTCAAAAGACACCTCGTTACAATGTCACACAACAGGGGGGAGCCCGTGAAGCGATCACGCGGGCGCGGTGGGATCGAGGACTGCGATCAAGCGGGCGCAGTTGTGCTTGCCTGGAGAGGGAGCGGGGAGCGGGGAGAGGGGAAGGTGAGATTGAAAGGCGTGGCTGGCAACAGCAGAGACCCCAATGCGCTCCGTGCCGGTGCCATGCCGAGAAAAGGGAACCAGCAGCAAGCTGACAGGTGTCAATACAAGAGATGAGTCACTCACTCCTCCCCCACCTGCTACTCAGTCCTCCCCCCACCTGCTACTCAGTCCTCCCCCCACCTGCTGGCCGTGAGCACCACACGCCTGCCACCCACCTGCTGCCCTCTCCCCCCTGTCGCCCCACCTGCTACCCTCTCCCCCCCCCTTGCCCCACCTGCTACCCTCTCCCCCCCGTCGCCCCACCTGCTGGCCGGTGAGCACGACGGTGCCGTGCAGCGTGTTGAGGTTGGTGAAGACGAGCCCCTTGTGGCTGTTGGCCGCGTACCACGCGCGCAGCTCCTTGCTCCACGCCACGTTCGTCATCGCGTGCGTCTGCCGGCACAGGGCCAGGGGAAGAGGAGAGCCCGCAGTCGAAAGAGTGGAGGGAGGGACTGAGGAATGAAGGGACGTTTGGTGGCCTGACTCCAAGACGGCGTGCATGATTTTTGAGGCGCCTCAAAAAGGGACGAAAGAGATGACAATCAGCACACCCAGACCAATTGCAGCACCTTGAGGTAGGGCGTGCCGTCCGCCTTGAGCAGCGCGGACGAGATGAAGCCAAACATGGACTCGGTGACCTCCAGCACCGCCGACAGCAGGTAGTCGAACACCAGGCTGCCGTTGGGCTCCTTGTCGATGAAGTACACCTGGTGCGCGCGCGTGATGGCCGCCAGCAGCTTGCGCTGCAGCACCTCCGTGTTGCTCATCGTCCGCGCCAGTCCCCCGCCCCCACCCCCGCCCGCGCCGCCACCGCCGCCCCCCGCCCTTCCCCCGCCTCCCCCTCCTCCGCCTATCCCCCCCATCTCCAGCCGCGCCCGCACCTCCTGCAACGCGCTTTCGTTGAAGTTTCTGTTTCCCTGGGCTTGGTAGTCGCCCCCCAAGGACATTCTGCCGCTGTTCTCCGCACTGCCCTCCCCCAACCCTCCGCTGCCATCCCCGCTGCTGCCCCGCAGATGGGGGCATGCGTCTGGACCTAAGCCAGACGCCGCCAAGCCGTACTCCGAGCCTCCATGCGAGGACCGGCTGCCAGGCCCGGCGCCACCAGGCCCGGCACTGAAGGTGCTGCCAGTGGCGGTGGTGGCAGCAAGAGGGGAGGCGTCGAAGGAGAGGCGCTTGGAGGAGGGGTTCAAGGGCGACCCGCCCCCATGGCTGCGAGCATCCACAGACCCCTGCTGCCGCTGCTTCTGCTGCTGCTGCTGCTGCTGCTGCTGCTGCTGCCAGGAAGGTGCGGAGAATCTTCCACTGCCATCGGAATGCAGCGGGGAGGGGGCGGGTTGGGTGTCGGCAGAGGGGGGGTTGATGCCGCAGCGCTGCAGCAGGGCCATGGCCACAGGATGCTCGGACGAGTCGTCCCTCACGCTGCCGCACCGCCGGCAGCGCCACCCCGATTCAATCCAGCTCTTCAACGCCGCCCACTCCTCCTCCCTTAGGCCCGCCATCACCTCCCACGGGGGTATACCCGAGCCTGCCTCGCTGGCTTGGCGCCAGGGCTCCGAACCTGAGCCCGGGCCAGCGCCTTGCGGCGTGGGGACGCCCTGCGAGGGGTAGTAGTCCCGGGACGCGGGGTAGGAGCCTCTGCCCATGGCCTCGTCCGGCTGCGCCTTCAGATGCGCCGCTTCCCCCCCCGCGCCAAAAGGCCGCGCGTCCCTTGGTGGTGTTGCCCCGCCCACTGTCCCCCCCATTGGTCCACCCAGACCCAATGCGCTCACGTTTCCCCCCTGCACTGGGCTCATCCCCCCCTGGCCCGCTCCGCCCATGCCGTCCTGCGCTCTGCTGCGCTCCGCGCTTCTCCGCCCCGTGGTGGCGGCAGCGGAGCCTCCGCCCGTCCAATGGGGGGCCTGCATGAGCGACTGCGCGAACTGCTGCTGCTGCTGCGGTGGGGGCGGCTGCGATAGCGACGCTTGTGGTTGCGCGGAAAACTGCTGCTGCTGCTGCTGCTCCATACCTGGGGCCATCGGCTTTGGCGACAGCTGCGGCTGCGGCTGCGGCTGCGCGGCTAGCAGCTGCTGCTGCTGTGACCGCTGGGGCGATCGTGTATCCACAGCAGTTCGCGCCTCTGAGACCTCCCGCGGCTCTCGCTCCGCCCGCGCATCCCACGGCGCGGGCTCCGCGCCTGCCCCCTGCTGAGCGCCCGCTGCTTGCGCACCCCCCGGAGAGGACGACTCCGCCTCTCCGCCTTTCTGCCGCCGAGCCTTAGAGAGATTCCGCTGGGAGTTGGATTGCGTGAGCGAGTCGCCTTTCTTGCCGAATAAGTTATTCCACCCCATGCCGGAAGATAATGGCGGTTGTTGAAAAACCGGTTTGGAAAAACCCGCGGAATGAAGGCCGATACTGCGAGAAGACTGCTAAAATGAAGCGAGTCGGAGACGCGAAGGGAGCAGGAGAGTGCCTGCTAAAAACGTTGCTAGAATGAAGTTAAGGTGTCCATTCTGTTGAGCGGCTGGGGCTTTAACTCCTAAGTTTTCAGGAAAACTCCTTCCATGTTCACAGGGATATTACTAACCTATATCAGGCGCTTCGCGGCGGCGTGTTTCGGGGAATCGCGACATGAGGTGAGAAGTCAGTGAAGAGGTGGAACGTCAGTCCTGAGGAATGGAGCTAGACCGCCGCGGAAAAGAGCAAACTTGATTCAGATAGTAAGAGCACCAAGCTTCAGGCACGGCGGCATTCTTATCGCCACGGTGATATCCAAGCACGGCCACCAACCACGCGAAAAGCGTTTTATGAGTGAAGCACCGCCAGCATCACTCGGCTATGCGGTGGATAAATCGACCCGCATCTCGTGCCCCATTATTGGCTTGTGGTGGCAGACAGGCCAGGAGCTAGCAAAACACTTCAGTACAGTGTTAGGGTGGAGTAGTGGTAGTTAGTTGGGCATTAGTGGTCCTGCACCAGCGTTGTTGGGTTTGGTTTGGTTTGGTGGGACGATTTGGCGAAGTGTGGCGAGACCACGATGTATCGCGGCAGCGCCGGCGAAGTCGGCGAAATCAAGGCGCTCAGTTCTGTTCTGCAGCCTGATCACGTGGCCAGCTTGCACTTGGGACTCACATGCTGCCGCCAAGTCCGACAGCACCAGACCAGAGAGCCACCCGTCACCCAACACCGCCTTCAGGCCACCTGGCTAAACGGTACAGGACGGTATACTAAAAACTCAATTTGTCTAACGATATGTGTCATTCTCCCAAACCAGATCAAGCATAGATCTTGACGAATAAAATCCATTCAAAATTCGCTTGGCATGTCATTGGTCACTACCACCCTTCCGTGCAGTCATCAAGATCCGGTGCAGCTCCTTGGCCTCTGCCAGGGCCCCTTTCTTGCACGCCATTTTTGCGATAGGAAACAGGGCTCCGTCATTCAGGAGCACTGCGGGCGCCACAACCCCTGTGGTAACCAGGTGGTGCAATGTCCAGAGCGCCTCCTCCCGTGCCCTCTCAGACTCGCTCTCCAGCACATCCGATATCACAAGGGTCCCTTCAACTGCTAAAAGTGCCTCTTGCCCGCCACGTGTCCTTGCAAGATTGGCCAGAACAGCCATGGCTTTCTCCTCAACCCCTGGCCTCTTATCCCCCAGGAGGTCCACCAGAATGCTTACAGCCCCTTCCCTCACCATCTCATTCGCACACGACAGGTCCTGCGAGAGGGAAAATAGGGCAAGTCCCGCATCCTTCCTGCACCTCGCAGTCTCATTCGTGAGCAGGCGAACGAGGGGGGGGATGGCCCCTGCAGCTTGAATCTTAGCCTTGTGGATGTTCCGGTTGTGGCCAGTCCCGTTCTCCGATCCCTCCATCACATCATCCCACGAGGCCAGGGCAAACAGTGCCGCAGCTGCATTCCCCTTCACCATACCCGATACGCCCAATCCCACCCCTGCTGACGCTCCTGCTCCCACCCCCGCGTCTTCTCTGGAAACTGCCCCATCATGCGAGAGCACGTCAACGAGGGACGGCACGCCGCCCACATCAATGAACTCCGCTGCCCCATCCCGCGACTGGCACAGCTGAAGCACCACCGCCACCACACAGTCCACCACCAGCCCAGGGTCCATCACTCCTCGCCCCCGCCCCTCCCGCCCTGCCGCCCTCCCTCCGCCCCCCCCCATGGCCGCAACTGCTTCGTCGAGGAAGTCTAGGAGGACGGGCACGCCGTCCTCGCGCTCCAGCAGCCGCTGCCTGTTCTCACAGCTCTCCTTCACCGCCGCTCTCAGCTGCACCACTGCCTCCACCCGCTGCTCCGCTGACCCTCGATCCATCGCCTCCACCATCCCATCAACGGTCGTGATTGCACGTGGTGGCGGCGTCAGCGCCCCCTGCTGCTGCCCAATCGGCCCATGCTGCATCAGCTGGTGAACCTGAGAGGACAAGGGGGAGAGAGCGGGGCTCCGTCCGCCACTGGCACCTGTTCCTTTAGACAGCCTGTGCTTGGGCGAGCCTACACTAGCAGGCCCTCCCCTCGCAAGCCCTGAAGCCACTCCTGCTAAACCCAAGGTTCCCCGTCCCGACCCCTGACCCGCCCCTGACACACCTCCCACACTCGCTTCCCCTGCCCCTGCCGCCCCTGCCGCTGCCCCGCCGCTACCTGTCCTGCTGTGGGCCCCACTCGCCCCTTCTTGGGAACACCTCCGCCCACCAATTCCCCCCTCCCGCGCCGAAACCCTAACGCCACCCCCTGATGGGCTTTTCGCTGCGCGTGGCGGCAGTTGCGGGGAGGACACACCGTCAGGGATCACCAGAGGATTCGACGGCTGGCCCGAGGCTTGTAACGGGGATAGCAAGTGCTGGCGCTGTCTGCGAGCTGCAAGCGAACTGACCCCGCGTGGGGACAGGCGCTGCGGGTCCAGAGCCTGCTGCAGCTCGCGGCCCTGCTGTGGCGACATTGCGCGATCGTACACAGCTGCGCCCGCCACAACGGACGGGTCCAGGCGGCCGGCAGCCAGGGGGTCGTTGCTGCCGTCCCAGCTCATGGTGCGGCGGCGATCCGGGCGCAGATGCGCCGCCGCAGTGGGCCCTTTCCGCATCGGCTTCGCCCCGCCGACCGGCGTGGTCAACGCGCGCTCTACGCCGTGACTGCCAGGGTCTAGTCGTACTGCCCCTACGGCCGCCGCGTTAGAGGCCAATAACCCCGAAGCCTGCGCCGGTGTAAGCCCTACGCCGTCTAAACTCGAGCGCGGGCCCGGATGCGCGCCGGATCCTCCCCAAGGGCCCTCGTGTGCCCCATCGGCGGACGAGCCCCCCCCGTTCATTCTCGGCGGTCGCTGAAACTCCTGGCTGCGCCGCTGCGGTCGAGTATCAGCTTCGCGAGCGGGAGCTTCCCGCTCCCGCGCGGACAGCGCGGAGAGGGTCTTCCGCCTGTTACACGCCGCCGCCTCGTTTGCGCCGCTGCTCCCCGCGCCATTCTCGCCGTTCTGCCCCCCGTCCACGCTGACCGCGCGGAACATGTGGCTCCCAAAGAACGCGGAATCAGCGGCGGAGCGAGTCCTGCGATGGCCCTTCACTTGAGTCGGCGAACCGGCCCGATCTTGAGATAAAGAGAGCACGTGTCGGACATCCTGGTTGCTGGGCCGGCTGTCGACCCGTTTCTGACCTGAAGATAGTTGGACGTTGTGCTTGGAGCACCACTCCATGATTAAGGCCTTCAGCGCGACGTTTGGGAAATAATCGGTGTGGCGAACTTTCGTTCCTGACCGCGGGCAGTTCACGTGACCTGCGTCGAACCAGGCTTGGATAAACTCCCGTTCGTACGTCAATCCAGAGGCGATAATCACGGGCTCCGCCATAACGCGATCCGATAAAGGGCAGATGAACTCGAGAGGGACTTCAAAATCGGCATCTTCCCCTCGAGACATCTTGGCGTGGTAATGCCAGAACCGAATTACCGAAGACAACGAGCGCGCAAGTGGAGTTCTCTATGGCAGCGTGAGTCCCTAGTGCGAATCATCCATGAATTAGCTTGACTAACGAGAAGACACACCTTAGTTGATGGCTCAAAAGTTCGCCCTGCACTTGGTCGCGAAGCTAGGATCTGGTAATTTCTACTTCGGGCAAAGGAGTCAGACTGGCAACGGAGAAGAGATGAGTGGAGAAGCGTGGATAGCTAGAGAGTTGGCCTAGGAGGCAAATCTTGAGAACCATATTGCGGAGGGAGGAAGCGAGGAGCCCTGTAATTGGAGACAGGGGGGGTGGGTGGGGTGACAGATCATCCCAAGGGTGCAGGAAGACCCAAGGTAACCCGGCTGGCGACATGGAGATGAAGGTAACCATGGTGACCTGCTTGTAAACGAAGTCTCACGAAATCTATCAATTTCTGGGGGCAGAACATTTCAAGCTTTGAGAGTGGCACGAAGTGACAACATTCGCTGAAGCTTTTGCTCAACCGTTGTGATATTCAGCTGGCAAAACCAGAGGTTCGAGCGACGACGAACCTCGAGATTGGGCCCGCGGCAGGCCTGCCGCACCCGACATTCATATCGCGGAGGTCATGGAGCAGAGTGCGACGAACCTGGGGATTGGGTAGGGGGCAAGCGCGCGTTTACAGTGCAGAACATTCATTTCGCGGGAGGCGCGCCAGGCATCCGCCTGCCAGGTCAGACAGCTCCCGCCCGCCCGAACCCCCTTGCGCCAGTTGGTGGGTGTTGTCTGCTAGGCTGTTCTGTACAGTGCATTCTTCGTTTGTGGTACAGAATTTCCTAGATCAGTGTACTTGAGTGCATACGCCAATTTCATTCAGGCTACATGCAGTAGTCCTAATGAGCAGGGGGCGTTGGTGCAAGCGTTGTGCTTGTCTTTTCTCCCATAATCTCCCTTCCCCAAAACGGTACCATTGGTCCAATCCTAGCTGGAGGTCTGTGGATTCCATGGCAGAACAAACTAATTTATTATCAGAACATGTAAGGACAGATGCCGCTTGCGCATGCGCACGCACATGCCAATCATCCATATATTTTTGTGTCATGCGTTGTCGCCTCCTCACCTGAGCTGGTCACCTTAGAATACCCTCACAGCTCTTACCAAAGCAGCTCTTACTTCAGTTGCTGGGTAGATCCGTTCCGTTTAAACATTCAGTGGGAGCGCCACGTCGGCAGAAATGTACAAGCCACGTGGCAAAGCGAACAAGGCGAAGCATCTCCACCACTCCGACGGCGCGAGGGGATGGCCGCCGGAAGAGCCCGCGGCGTCCGCCGCCGGTCACTCCAGCGGAGATTGGAGCGGAACTGCGGAGGCCATGCGCGGAGACGCGCGCGTGGCGGAAGCTGTAGGCGGAATGGCGGTGGGCGGAATGGCCGCGGGCGGAATGCCGGTGAGCAGCCCGGACGTTGTGGGGAAGAGCTGCTTCAACTGGCGCGGCGTGTTCCACAAGGACCACGGCGCGCGCGTGCTTAAACTGGAAGGCGGCGGTGTGGCGGAGGTGCTTGTAGTGGATGCTGGGTGTAGAGACGACGAGGTGAGAATGCATCATGAGTATTCTGGGGCGGGTTTTAGCGGCGGGCAAGCGGACACAGCGATGGCAGGTGCGTTTGAAGACGAGGAGGCGCGAGAGGGATGCACTAATGGCAGCGATAGGGTTGGTGCGAGAGGTGAAAGCATGGCGGGGGTGGGGAGCGAGCAGGAGAGGGCGGTCGCAGCGGAGCGAGGTGGTGTCATTGGCGCTGCTGCTGCTGCTGCTGCTCCTGCTGGGCCACATGGTGCGGATTCCACGTCAGCACTACTGGCCGTTTCAACTGGAGGAACGCATGACCTCTCTGTGCGTACAGATGACACGGTTTCATCTGCCGCGGCGACTGTTGGCAGCGTTTCATCTGCCCGACTGAGCATAGACGGCGTTTTATCCAGGCGTGTGGCCGGGGCGGACGGAGCAGGCACGGTGGAAGCAGTATTGGAGTCAAGCGGTGGTGGGCGGCGGGGGGAGGAAGGGAGCACTGTGAATGGCACCAGTGGGTCTCCTGCCCTCCTCACCACCGCATGTCACCTTCTCCATGTGACCTCCGGACCAACTCTAACTACGCTCCACACGCCTCCTCCCTCCCTCACACCTTCCTCCCTCACTCGCCCTCCCAACGCTCCCTCACTCCCTACGCACCCAGAAACAACCACTTCCTCTTCCTCCTCTCCCCCCGGCCGCTCCTCCTCCCCACTCCCTTCCCCCGCAGCTGCACTCTCTGCTGCCTCTGCCCCCCATACCTCGCCCTTGGACCCCCCTCCTACCATCTCCCCGTCCCTCCCCAACCCTTCCGCCCCCCAACCATCCGCCCCTGATGCGTCCGCCCCCTCCGCCCCCCCACCTCGCCCCCACACCGCCGCAGCATCCTCCCTCCCCCGCCCGTCCCCTGCCCTTCCCCCCACCCCCGCCAGCCGCGGCAGCAGCAGGGGGGCGCGGGGGGGCGTTAGCAGGGAGGGGCGTTCGGGGACGGGGGGAGGGGGCAGCAGGGGGGGGTCGAGTGGGGGCTTCCATGCACGCAAGCTCTCCACGGACGACAGCTTCCTGGGGCTCTCGTCCCTCAGCCCCTTGGACGCCTCCGCTTGCACCGCCAGGACTCCCCGCCTCTCGCCCTGCCTGCCCGCTGCTGCTGCTGCTCTTGGCGGCAGCAGTAGTGCAGCAGGCGGTGGTGGTGCTGCTGCTCCTGCTGCTGCCCCTTTGGACAGCACGGCCAGTATCACAGGCCCACTTGCTCCAGCGTCACACCCCCTGCTGCCGCCAGTCACCACACCCACAACCACCCACCTCCCTCCTCCCTACCCCACCACCCCCCTCACTCTCGCGTCCCCATCAGGCCTCCTCGGCCACTCAGACACTGCCACGTCACCCAGCATCATCCACAAGTCACCCTCCACCCCGTCCGTATCCACAGACGATGAGCTGGCGCCGCTGCCCGGCCTTGGGATTGCCGGCGCAGGGGTGAGGGGAGGGATGGGGGGGGGCGTGATAGGGGGAATAATGGTGGGGGGGATGGTGGGGGGAGTACCAGCAGAGGGGGGAGCCGTGGGGGAGGGTGAGGGCATGGGGGGGGGATGGGGGGATGGGGGGGATGGGGGGATGGGGGGGATGGGGGGGATGGGGGGGATGGGGGTGTATGGGGGGGCGGAGCTGCGCAGGAACGAGAGTGTGGGCAGCAGCAGCGGCTCTGTTATGACGGTGCCGGACGACCTTGCGGGCCTGCAGCGCCCGGGCACTCTCAAGACGTGGAAGTCCGTGCACTCGCACTCGCACCGCTCCAAGCTCGCCAGAGGGCTGCTCTTTGGCGGTGGTGAGCCACACCACGGAATTTCTCCTGCTGTTATGCTGTGTTTAACTAAAAATGGCCAGCATAGCTGTCGTCTCCCTTGCAAAGCGTAGGGGCATCATGTCTAACTGAAAGTCCACTATCTGCCTGCTCTCTCTCTCTATCCCCCCGCCCTGCACCACAACCATGACAGCAGCAGGAGAGGGGTGGGAGGAGGGAGTGCTGAGCCCACGGGGGTCGGCGTTCATGGCAGCTGCCAGGCGGAGAGGGCTGTGGCGCCGCACCGTCACACCCAAGGAGTGTGAGTGCCGTGGGTGCCAAGCCAAGGCGTGTGAGTGCCGTGGGTGCCAAGGCGTGTGAGTGAATGCAGGCTGGGCGGTGGAGCCACGGCTGTGTGCATTCATCTCGTGCTCTGTGCATTCATCTCGTGCTCTGTGCATTCATCTCGTGCTCTGTGCGTACTCGCTGTCTTTCGGTGCACTCATCGCTGCCCTCGTCTCTCTTCCTCTCGTGTGTACTGCCCTTTCGCTCAAAGCCCTCTCCTCCTTCCCACCCCTGTCCTCTCCAAATGCACCTGCTCCGTTCCCCACCCCCAGCTGTGAAGCGCCTGCTCATGTGGCCCCAGGCGGGTTCCCAGGTGTCCCGCTGTGCCCCAGGTGATTCCTCTGCTGAAAACTCCTGGTCACCCGTGGACCCTGCATCCTTTGACGTGCGCGGAGAAACTTTCTTATCTGACCGGCGCAAGGTGCCCGCCAGCCCGCCGGCCATCTACGAGCCATGGGGCGTGGATGTGTTTCACACACCGCTCAAGATCCGCCACGTGGCAGAGCATGTGGAGCTGCCTGCGAGCCTCTTTGAGGGGGGCGGTGGGGGAGAAAGTGGGGAGGTGCGGGGGGAGGAGATGGAGGGGGGAGAAGGGGGGCAGGGAGAGGGGGATGGGTGCATGGATGGGGTGTGTGAGGAGGTGTATGGGGTGGGAGAGGTGGGAGAAGAGGGAGTGCTGCCTGGAGTGCTGGTGGTGAACCTGCAGGTACCGCTCTACACCGTTCTGCCGCTGCTGCAGCAGGAGCAGGACGGGGAGGGCATCAGCCTGGTGCTCTATTTCAAGCTCAGTGCGGCCTTTTCTCAGGGCCTTCCTCCCTGCCTCGCTCCCATGCTGGAGGTGAGAGCAGTCGCGTGCAATAGCCTTGACTTTTAGTCAAGTGAGTAGCTTGTTGTTTCTTTCCGCAAGCCGACCTTTCAATTCCATCGTTGCCTGCCCCCCCCTCCTCCTGCCCGACCCTTCACCCGCACCTTACAACTCCCATCACTCTCATTTCCCCCCCGTTCCCCCGTTCCCCCGTTCCCCCGTTCCCCCGTTCCCCCATTCCCCCGTTCCCCTGTTCCCATGGTCCCCTGTCGCCCTGTTCCCCTGCCCCCCGTCTCCCTTTGCACCCACAGCCTCTGTGCCAGCCACCAGCTGAACCTCTCTCTCCTCTCTCCTACCCTCAAGCCGAGCACAGAGGCACAGGAACCAGTGGGCCGCCGGACACAGACACTGCAAGGGGCAGTGCACGAGAGAGCAGTGCAGCTGTAGCGGCTGTAGCAGGGTCTGGCATGAGCTACAGTGCCGCAGATGCAGACCACTCTCGCACTGCCAGCAAGGGGAGTGGCGCGGGTAGTGGCAGCAGCACGGGTGCCGGTGCGAGGGGGAGGGCGGCCGGGGCGAGTGAGTCGGGGCGCAAGGAGTCGCCGAACGCGTTCAAGTGGGATCGGCCGAAGCTGCTGGCTCGAGTGGTGAACGAGGCGGGCATGGGGCTGGGGTCCAGCTCCAAGAAGGCGGTGCAGAGCTGGAGCGGGCAACCCATCCTCACCCGCTCGCACCACTCCCTCATTCGAGTGAGTGAGCCGATTCTTGCTGCTCCTCTTCGAACTTGTTGGGCTCTCTACTATCCTCTTGGTCTCGTTTCAGCAAGTCCGATGCTTACGGAGTGTGGGCTTGTGTTCTTCCCTCAATGCCCTACGTTGCCCATTCTAGGGCGAGAGCAAGCCGTATGTGGAGATGGACATAGACGTGCACCGGTTCCCCAATCAGGTCAAGAGGGGCCTCCTCCCTCTTCGGCGCCATCTGTCCTCCTGTGTCTTCGACATTGCCATCATCCTTCAGGTACGCTGCACCGCACTCAGTTGGCTCAACCAATAATCTTGTCCTTTTCCCACTTGATGTTGATGATCGGCCCAGAAAGAATGGGATTCTGTAAGGGCATGTACTCATGTGCTCTCCTCTTTTGGTGCCTTTGATTTGTGTGATGTGAAACAGGGTGTGAGCCCAGAGGAGTTCCCCGAGCCGATCCTTGCGTGCGTCCGTCTGCATCGACTTGATTTGTCCCAGTTTGGATCATTAGGGTCAGGGTTGTGATCTATGTGAAGTTATTTTGCACCAGACTGTAGCTAGTGTTTTTTTCCTCGTAAAATATTTTCCATGTCCTTGTCATTTTAATTCATCATTTTTACGTGCAACGGAGGCGTTTCTTTGCGCGAATATCGAGAATGATTGGGCATTGACAGGTCAGCCCCATCAACCAACTTTCCCCCCGATTTAGTACAGCTGCAGTGGGATGGCGCGCGGCGCAGATTGCGGCTCCAGCGAATGCATCCGCTACAGAATCAGCAGAGCATACATCTTCACACTTCACCGCATAGCACCTTGCTAAAACGCACTTCACCCTGGGAAACCAGGCCAAGCGGCGCCCTGCTACTGCAAAGCCATGCCATGGCATGCCATGGCCCGACTACAGTACATCAGCCAGCCAGGGGCAGAAGCGGAAGGCGGGAAACTGCCGTGCTTCGCTGGGCGGCACCCAGCGTTTCACCAACCTGACGAAGCCACGCCAACCTACCTTGGGACGAACCGGGTCGCATTAAAGGCGTATTAGAGGCGGCCGTGTGGTAGAGTTGTGCTACGGAAGCGCGCCAGCGTGAAAGGTCACATTGCAGGAGTTTATCCTAATAGTTCATGCTCCTGCACACGTAGCTTTCGACTCTCCTTTTCCCCTTTCCAGCATCTCCGTTCGAATGGCGCTGCTGCCAGTATTCCCTAGCCGCCGATTGTTCGCGCGGCATTCCCAAGGAGCGCATACGGGGATGCAGGCGCAAGCTGGGGAGGAAGCGGAGGAAGAGGGGGAGAGAGGGGACGAGAATGCGCGGGATAGACGGTTCGGATTCACGGGACTCGCTACTATCGAGGACGTGGTCGATGAGCTGGGCAGCGAATGGGAGGACGACACGTCAGTAGAGGAATTCGAGGTCGAGAGGCCCACTCGCACTCCCTTGGTGGTCCCGACGACAGGCAAAGCGCGCACTGTGGGAGAAAGCAGAGGCGCACCCCAAAGTAGACCCCAAAATAGATCCCAAAGTAGACTCCAGTGTAGATCCAGCCACGGCGCAACGATGGCCCGTCGCTGGCGGCCGTTCTCCCCGTCACCGTGCGTTTGCCCGCCCATCTGCGCGTCCTTCCACCCCATCTTCTTCCGCGACCTCCGCCTCCCCGCTTACTCCGTCATCTCCACTCCCCCTTCCCCCGCTCCGCCTTCCCCCGCGCCGTCGTTCCTCTCCTCAACCTCCTCCGCCACTTCCGCCACCTCCGCGCCCATTCTCCGCCACAGGTCCGCGCATTCCCCCCCCGGCTCTTCCTCCTGTAGCACTTCCACCTGCGCCTCCCCGGTCTCCTCCGCTGCCCCCATCCGCCATCCCCCCCACGCGGGCCTGGCGCCGCTCCCCCGCCAGGTGGACTGCCGCCAGGTCCACTCCCCCTGGCGCGCGCTGCTCTTTAGGATCTGCGGCTTCCAATCTGCGCTGCTGCAGCGGCGGCAGCACGTCTTCATCATGCGCCACGCGGAACGGTTAGACACAGTAGACCCGAGATGGGCGCAAAGGGAGCCCAATAGCCGGCCTTGGGACCCGCCGCTGTCGGAGTGGGGGCGGTACCAGGCGTACCAAGTGGGAGTGAGACTGCGGAAAGAGGGGTGGGGCGTGACCAGGATAGTGTGTGCGCCGTACGTGCGGTGCGTGGAGACAGCGGCGGAGGTGATAGGCGCCATGAGCAGCACGCCTGACATGGACTATGCGCCCTCGGGCCCTGCGTATGGCGGCTCGTCGTCGCCCTGCCTGCCGCTGCCGTGCCTGGGGAGGGTTGGGGCGGCGGGGTGCAGAACGGTGGGGGTGCAGCGCCACATGATCCAGGCGATGCAGGTGAGAGGATTGTGAGGAAGAAGGGTGTGGAGGGGGGGGGAGGGGGGGGGGGGAGTAGGTTGTTGGGAGAAGCGCTTGTGCTTAACGTTTGGCAGAAACCTCTTTGTCTCACCTCTATCTAGTCTCTTGGACGTTTTTTCGCTCATCTCCCACACATCCCCCCTGTGACATCCGTTGCTACAACCAGCAGCGGCCCCTGACGCCTGCCCAGGCACTGCAGCACCGCAAGCGGAAGCACGCCAGCAGAGACAAGGCCTCCTCACTCTCCGGTTCGTACCACGACCCCGTTGGGCCAAGGACCCAGGAACCAGTGCCAACAGCACACACGTGGCAGGCAGGCATGCCAGTGCCCCTGTCCCTCGTGCGTGCCTGCATCGACTACTCTCTCTGTGAGGTGGTCCCGCCCGGCACGGCACGGCCACGTTTGTCTCATGTGCTGGCAGGGCGGGCGGCGCTGGAGGCATTGCTGCCTGCAGAGTGTGTGGAGAGGGTTGGGTGGGCAGTGACAGGCGGAGCGGACTTGAGAGTTCCAAGGGGACCGGAGGAAGTGGAGAAGGCAGCAATGAGACTGGTGACAGCTATGGACCGAATCGCAGAGCAGGTATGGGAGGCCATATGAAGTTTGTTCAAAGCATTTGAGTAGCATGACGAGCAGATGATCAAATGTTGTGCTGAGCATTATGGTCATTTAACTTAGGCTTCTGCGCTACGCTATTTTTCTCGCTTCTGCAGTGGCCAGAAGAGAACATAATTCTCATCACGCATGCAGAGGCGCTTCATGCATCTGTGCTTCGATGCTTAAAAAAGGTAAGTCTAAAATTCCCTCGCCCAGCTTCCATGTCTGTTCAGATGCTAATTCGCCCTGCTTATTCAACTTCACATCATGCCTCCCTCCGCTTGCATGTTGTCTTGCAGGCCAATGTGTACAATATACTTATGGCGGCAGTTGTTCATTTACAACGTAATGTGTATCGAGATCGAGAGGACGAGGACGAGAGGGGCATCAGCGAGTGGCAGCTTGCCACAAGCTCTGGAATGTCTGGAGTCTACTTTACATAGTTTGGGCAGTGTAATGTTGCGCACAAGTGTGACAGCATATTGGCAATGCTTGTTCCTCATCTCATATCATGTTATGGATGCAAATACCTAGCAGTGCATACACACGCACATGCCAGCAGGCCTGACATTGTACAGCCTTCTACAACTTGCTCTAAACAGTCAGATAATTTGAACTGCCAGATCTTACAGATTGCTGGCCTGTATTGGGAGGGCATAACATCTAGGAAGAAAAACTCTACTAGAGAAACAACTTCGACAAGGATTACTCCAGTAAGGGTTTGCCTACAAACCCGTTCATCATGGCTCACAAGTCGTAGGCAATGCTCCAGTGCACGCGCTTACCACCACTCTCCCGTAGCTCAGCATTTAAGGTCCAGTTGTTCTCCCGCAGCTGCAGGTAAGGCTTTCTCGCAACGACGTTATACCCCAGCTTCACCTTCAGATCCTGATCCTCTGTGAAATTGAACACCTTCTGGCTAAGCTCAACTGAAGCTTTCGGCTTCCCGGACTGGGTGTGAGGCTGGTAGTTGTAAGCGCCCTTGAGATCGAGACACAGAAGACCGTTGTCTGTAAGCTCCCAGGTCTTCTTCCCCTGAATACTGTAAGTCACTTCTCGCGACTCAACGTCCACTTTAGCACCCACATCAATGCTTGTCAGGACCTCCGGGAAGAATTTCTTTTTCAGCTGGATCAGGCAGCTGGGCTTGCCAGTCTGCGTGTTCAGCTTCGCATGGACCTGAAGCGCGATGTTGCCGTCACTCACAAAATTCTCCTTCGCGTGCATGACCAAGCTCCGGTCTTCCGCGTTAAGTCGTAGGGAAGTCTCCATGATTCTGCTCGAAGATCGGTCCTGATAAGTCGCCGAAGCTACACTGAAGCACCTGCAAGCAATCCGCAAACGATTGTCGCAGAAACCGATAGGAGGGAGGGATAGCGAACGATTTATTTGAACGCACCAGGAGCCTATTTGAAAGGAGATTGATAATGCAGCTTAAGGTCATGCGCGACTACCGTGGAAATCAAAATGATCGTTTCAACACAACCCAAAGGGAAGCATCTGATGCATAACATAATATCGGAAAAAAAAACTAAGTAACGGCTAGCCAACACGGACTCACGGGAAGGGTTAAACTTGACCGAAAGAAACGCTTGAACTTCGGCGCGTGATGGACGGCACTACCGGTTAGCTGATTGGCCAGAGAAGCCCTAGCAGATAAGAACAGATCAGAACAGGGAAGCTGATCAGGGAAGGGGGAGATGGCCAGCTGGTCTCTGCGGGAAGGACGCAGGTTGTGAGAAGAGGAGGATCAGCAGGAATGTCCCAGAACGTGCGATGGCGAAAGAAAGTTCCCATCGAGTTACAGCATTTCACGACTCCACGGGCGAACATTTTCCTCTCTCTCGCCATTCACGTACGCACCCCCAGTCTTTCGCTTGCACGAAGACTTGCGGAGAATCGCCAATGGTACCCCCCACCACGTCGGCGAGCACCACCGAGATTGTGCGTGGTTTCCAGTCTCCCTCCACTCGCAACTCGCATCTCAACTCTCGAGTCGGTCCCGATCTGACACTCCCGATGCTCCTCCCAACCAAATATCCCACCTCTCAAAATTTGCGAGGAATAAATTCTGGGAATGCTAGTACCCACGCGCTTGTAGTTCATGATTCCTAACGCCATTCATTCCTTTGCGTCCGGCTGCGATGCTACGAGCTGCCATTCACCGCCAGACACTCCACATTCCACCAGATCCCCGCTCGCTGGAGCACACTCCCATACACGTCCATATTCCGCAAACTTTTTCCGCGAGGCCACGAAGGAGAATCTTCTGTCAAACACGCGATGACAGCACGAAGCACAGAAGCAGCACAATCAACTTCCCTCACAGCCATTTAAATTCTCTGAGTAAAAGCCATGATCCAACCCCCAGCGAGGAGGCACTGTTCGCGCGGATATCAGTGACACCGCCTGCGCCGGTCGCAACTCCGTCCCTCTCGGGCATCCATCTCATCGTCCCCAGCATCGTCGCCGCCACCATAGCTGGCGGTGTCACCTTCTCCCTCCTCTCCCTGCACGCCAGCCTTCTCCGTGCTCTCTCCGCTCTCCTCGCCGTCGCCTTTTATCCCATCTCCACTCTGCTCACTCTGCTTCCACCATCACCATCACCATCAGCGTCGGCATCGTCGTCCGACGAGTCGTCGCCATCAGCCCCTTCCAGCGCCCCATCCGCCGTTCGCACTCCCCAGAATGGGTCCCTCGTCGCGTACACCAAGCAGGTGAGCTCCATTGACGCGTTCCGGACATGGCGAGTCAGAAGCCTAATGACTAAGAGCATTAGAAGACACATTGCTCTATCGTTCACATTGCTTCCTCTGGGCATCACAATGCATATGGCCGTGCATTCAACCCACGCCGTTTTCCTCCGTCTGTGCTTCTCGCCTGCTCGTCCGCCAGGCGGCACCAGCGGCGCTGGCGACGATGGCGGTGACGTTCCCCAACGCCATGCAGGAAGACACCTTCATCCACGCTCTCGCCCAGGAGCTCGCCAACCTGGGCTTTAAGAGGTACAAGTCACTTTAAAACCCGCGTGCCAAGTAGTTCAATGGTAGGAAGGTTGGTTGGATAGGAGGACGGCATTGGTTGTCGAGTAGTTCTCCTAGGGACCTCTCGACCAAAGGTAGGAAGCTTGAGGCAATTTTGGGACATTTGGTACGCGGGATTTAAATGTGGTCTTTGCGTAATCTCCTTATCGGAGCCAATGCGTGTGCTAAGTCTCTCTTGATCTGCAATGCCCCTCACACACGCCAGGCACAACTGCATTGCGCTAGTGAACACGTGTCGGGACGAGGTGTGCCGGCCGATAGTGAAGCTGATTGACCGCGAGTTCGGGCTGTCGTTCAACATTGGCGGGCTGGGCGGGCTCGTCAACTGCGGCACCACGGGCTTCAAGGCCGCCATGTCACACTCGCCTGAGTTCCCCTGCGAGATCAACGGTGGCCCACCGTGCGAGAGATGTAAGCCGGATGCCTGCCTGCTGTGGCTTGTGCATTCTCTTGCATCCTTGCCAACTGCTGCATAGCATGCACTAGTGTACCGCGGCACGATGATGTGTTCTACATTGCTCACCTCCCGCAACCTCCCCGCCAGACATCTTCTTTGGCTTTCCGCACGTGTCGGTGGGGGAGTCGGGCCAGGTAGGGTCGCTGCTGAGGCGAGGCCGGGGCAAGCCGTCCAGTGCGTGTGGGGCGCTGATAGCCATCAAGAACGACATCTCAAGGGGAGGGCCGGTGCAGGACGATGCGGACGACCTGGAGTACGTGCTGCTCAAGAGGAAAATCGCTGCTCGGGTATGTATGGGGGTTTGGTGATGACGGGCATTGTCATCTAAGGTTTTGACTATATGAAGCAGCCCACGACCCTTGCAGGCTCATCCGTATTACTTCAAATCCACCCCCACATTTCACACCTGAACCCTCCTCCCTCTCCCCCAATGTTGCTGCCACCTGTCTCTTTTGTCCCTGCCTCCTTCCTGGTGTCTCCTGCCACTGCAGGTGCACTCCTCTGCTGCGGATGGTCCGTCGCTGGTGCGAGTGACCAAGGCAGCGCTGGAGGCAATCACAGAGGACATAGAGAGGCTAGTGGGGCGCACAGTGGACCCCAAGACAGCAGACTATGCTGTCATCACTGGCGTGCAGATACACTCCGGCTTTCAGGTGCAGTGCCCATGGAGCTTGCATGCCACCGGAATTCTTTTGCCTTGGTCTCCTCCCTTTTTTTCTTACCCTCTCTTTTGTTACTTCTGCTGCCTTGCTCGCTTTGCCTACTTCGTTCAGATTCCAGGAGAGCCATTTCAATTGGAGCGCACATGTGATTACATTGCACCGAGTGCCATGTATGCAGTGGTTCGTGGGAAGAAGCATGTTTTACATTGCGAGGTGAACCAAATCACAGACATCACATCAGTACTAGCAAGACACATTATAGACTAGGTAAGATGGACAGTAATACCTCTTAGTGAGTTATGCGGTGGGATAATCTTGTGTTGTAGACATATATTTACTAATGAGCCTAACAATGATGTCAGTGTTGTCATCGAGCCTTCACCCCCCTTGAAATGTCCACCCCTGCATTCACGCTATCCGAGGATGAACCAGACGAGCTGCTTTGCGCACACTCTCCGCCGGTGCGCTTTGCCAGGCCCTCCAGAAACCGCAACCCCGCCCCCCGGCCCTCCGCGCGTGCGGGCCTTGCGGCGGAGGAGAAGGCGCGGGGTGCGCAGTGATGGTCGGAGGCGAGGCGGTGCTGCAAACAGTGGTCCTCCGCGCAAGACCTGCACTTGGCGCGATTGGACGCTGTCAGTCGTTGCCGGCAGCCCCGCACGGGGCACTTGGTCCTCCGCTGCGCCGAGGCCGCCTTGCAGTCGCTGCCGCCCACGTGGCGCGCGAGGGCTCTCTCGGCATCCTCGAAGCGCGCCATCCTAAAGCTGGAGGAGCATTTGGGGCAGACCGCGACTGTGACGTCCTTCAAATGGACGTCGGAACACGCGTGCGCCGCGTATGACCGGTGGTCGAGACAAAAGGGCTGCGGGGACGGGGGAGATGGATGGACGGACACCGCGTGAGACAGTGTCGGGAACGGCCACGTCCGAGAGCAGATGGAGCGGACGGAGCGGATCGTCAACGACTAGAGAAATCGAAACGTCTTAATTGACATGTCCACGCGAACTCGGATTGCTCTGGTCTATGCGACTCGACTGACCTGATGGCACGCATCGCATTTGAAGGGAAGAAAGTCGAGCAGCTGGCAGGAAGACACGGAACAATGGCGACCGAGATTGGGGAACGCCTCGGTCCCACCGCTGCTGCTCCCAAACGACATTTGATCCGACGAGGCAACAGAGGGATGACGACAGATACGGGGTACAGGAGCGCTACGGGAGGACCAAGGCTGACAGCCGAATTATTAAAGATAGGACGTGCCAGGCAATTACAAACAGGATCAAGGTAACTAAAACAGTGTCTAACGGATTAGTCTGTTAATCGCCAAGGACAGTAGGTTGTGTGCCTTATGCTGCTGAGGATGAGCGTGGTTTGTCTCTGTGACAGCGACGCTCCAATCGTCGCCTGCCACACGCCAGCTGCACTGACGGCGGGGGGTCGAGTGTGCAGCGGGAGTGATTGCGAAGAAGATTCCGAGCGACGGAAACTCACGCGAACGAAACATCGAGAACTTCGGTTGGTGCGACTGTTGTACGCGGTTGGTTACCAAGACTACACCAACACACAACTATACAAGACAGATGCCTAATGTGTTATCTCTATGGTGTACGCTTTAAACAAGGCCCTAAGCCCACGTCAACCTCAAGAGTCTGCTTCAGCGGGCTCCAGAGGCAGATCTCGGTCTCCCCCTTCGTTTCCTCATGGCGACATTCTCGACTGCCTCGTGAATTGTAGCAAGCCATAGCTGCAGCTGCTCATTCAGTGGGATAGTCACACACGGGTAGGAGAGGAAGGATGTGAAATAAGACGGGAGAAGCAACGCTTACAAATGAAGAATATTCCCTCCTCCCCCCTTCCTCCCCTTAATCGAATTCCCCCCAACCCAATTCAGCACCGCCTCCCCCCTCCTTCCTCACCTTGACTCGGCTGCGAGTGGCGCACTCGAGCCGGAGCCCATAGCCAGTGGTGAGGTGGAACACAAGCCAGTCCTCCGCCTCCTCGCCCGCCTCCATGCCCGCCTCCAGCGACCCTGCTGCCGCCACGCTGTCCAGGGGGATGCTCACCTCGGGCTCCAGATCTGCAGGACGGGGGAGAAGGGTGCCATTGGTGGAGGAGAGATTGGGGTTGAATGTTCCATGGACTTGTGCACACACGGCTGTGGATACACATAAGTGAGGCCTTTTAGAGACCTGATTGTGAGACCCGCCTGAAGCCTGGCAGTAGCAGGAGACCCACCTGAAGCCTGGCGGTAGACGGAGATCCACCTGAAGTCTGGCGTTAGCAGGAGACCCACCTGAAGCCTGGCGGTAGCAGGAGACCTCGTTGTTGGAGAGCGCCACGAAGCGCGGCAGCCACTCGTCCTCCGCCTCGGGGTCGTCCACTGGGATGGCCACCTCGCCGCCCATGGGCGCCCACCGCTGATGGGGGGGGGGAGGGGGGATGGTGATCGATGTAAAGGAATCTGTGCACTCATCACCGGAGAGGCACATGGATGCATGCACTCATCACACGAGAGGCACATGGATGCACTCATCACAAGAGAGGCACATGGATGCACTCATCACAAGAGAGGCACATGGATGCACTCATCACAAGAGAGGCACATGGATGCACTCATCACAAGAGAGGCACATGGATGCACTCATCAGCATGCGAGGCTGGTGTGATTCATGCAGTCAACAGCTCACATTCACATGGTGGCAACTGTGCTAACAATACCATTCATATGTATAGACCAGCATGAATGCACAGGGCTGCAAGCGCACCTGCCTGGTGTGCAGGCACTCCACCAGCATACCTGCCTGGTGTGCAGGCACTCCACCAGCATACCTGCCTGGTGTGCAGGCACTCCACCAGCATACCTGCCTGGTGTGCAGGCACTCCACCAGCATACCTGCCTGGTGTGCAGGCACTCCACCAGCATACCTGCCTGGTGTGCAGGCACTCCACCAGCATACCTGCCTGGTGTGCATGTACTCCACCAGCAGCGACCGCTTGAGCATGTCGTCCAGACGAGTCAGCCTGGCACATGGGACACGGCGGTGCGGGGATGGGCGAGGAGGAAGATGGGGGAGAGATCAAGAGTAAGCCAGTTGATACATGGTAACGAGGTACACGAACGAGTTGGTGACAAGCGTGAGCGCCCATGCGGTACTCACTTGGCCTTGGCAGTCTCCTCCCTCTCCTCCGCTGCTGCTGCCTCGTCACGCACCGAGACTGCCTCCCCTCCCTGCCATGGACGCAGTGGGACACCGGTCAGCCACCAAGCAGTCATGCAAACCAACAGCTGCAACACACAAGAACCCGTGCATCAGCTAGTAAACGCACACGCCCCTGTCCCGACTGCTCCACGCCTCTCCTCCCCTCCACCCCTCCACCCCTCCCTACCTCCCACCCATGCAATGCGTCCCTGTGGCTCCGAGCCCTACCTCAGCAGCAGCAGGGCTGTCTTTCTTAGCTGCCCCGCTGCTCCACCCAAACAGCCACCCACCACCACTGCTGCTGCTATCTGTGCCCTTCGCCAGGCCCCCCCCGCTGCCGCCACCAGCGCTGCCAGCAGCAGCAGTGGCGGGGCGGGCAGGGGGCAGGCGAGATGCCGTGGATTGAGGAGTGTCAGAGGGGGTGGTGGTGCTGGGAGAGGGATGATGGGGTGGAGGGGGGGGGGAGGAGGGTGGATGGGAAATGGGGGAAGGAAGGTTTATGGATTTTGTTAGGCATGGAGGGGAAGAGAAAAGAGGTTGAAAATGTTGTTGGGTGCGGGGAGCAGAGACGATGACATGCCTCAGATGACTCTTGAGTCGACTCGAGACTCAAAAGTCACCTCGAGACTCTGTTGTAACGTGATTGCAGGAATTGCGTGCTGTTGTGAGCGCGAGACTCAAGTGATGATGCGATCGCAGGGATCATCCTGCTCGCAGCAACATGTCACTCCAGCACCGTGCAGCGTGACTGGAGCCACGCCATGCCACTGACCGCGAGCTGGCAGTGGAGAAGCCGTCCAGGTGCAGTGCGCGGAACTGCCGGGGCGGCACGAACTTGGGCTGCCCTGCCTGCTGCTGCTGCTGCCCCGGCTGCTGCTGCTTCAGCCGCTGTGCATCCACACCCGGCACCCCCACTGCCGTGGCCGGGCGTGGCATGAGCGCTGCTGCGGCCTGCCCCGCTGCCTCTGCTGCCACCACCCGCCTGCGCTCCACCTGACTCGCCAACTTCCCCCCACACGCACGAGGGGGGGGGGGGGAAAGGTGGGTACACAAGAGAGGTGGAAAAGGACAAGGCAGGAGGGAGGCACGAAGGGGGGAGGAACAGGGCGGGTTATGTTGAGGCCAGTCGTCCAGAATGGGTGTTTTGAGAATTCTCAAAAACACCCTGCAAAAGTTATGTTGAGGCCAGTCGTCCAGAATGGGGAGAAGAAACGAAAGGCATTCGTGGAGTGTGTGACACCAGGATGCACTCCACACGGCATGTGCAAGGCAAAGGCATGTGTGGCATGTGCAAGGCAAAGGCATGTGTGGCATGTGCAAGGCAAAGGCATGTGTGGCATGTGCAAGGCAAAGGCATGGTGTGGCATGTGCAAGGCAAAGGCATGTGTGGCATGTGCAGGGCAAAGGCATGTGTGGCATGTGCTGTGCTCACCTCGAACGCCACCAGGTCAGCCGGGCGCATGTTGGCCAATGCGGGGTGGCCACGTGTCATGGACACCAGCGAGAGCCCCTCCACGCCCGCCTTCTCAAAATCGCCCGCATAGTCTGGCAGGGGGCATGCAGGGGGCGGATGGGGGGCGGGGGGGAGGCATGGGGAAGGAGGGACTGGGGCAAGAGGGCACAAGCCCAAGGGGAAGACGGCAGCGAGGGGAGCAGTCACGGAGAAAGGGAGGTGGGGAAGGGAGGGGGAGGAGGGTGGAGGTAGTGAGGCGCACCCTTGGCCTTGTTGGAGCGGAAGGGCACGGAGGACTGCAGCCAGTGCAGCACGTCGCTGGACGACCACTGCAGCAGGGACGAGGGCGGCTTGGCAGGGGAGGACGACGGCGCTCCGCCTGCTGCGTCGGGCGCTGCCCTGGCGTCAGGTGCCTTCGAGCCTTGTGCCTTGGCCCCTGGTTCGGCCCCAGGTGCCTTCGAGCCTTGTGCCTGGGCCCCTGGTTCGGCACCAGGTGCCGAGGGAGAGGCTGCTGTGTGTGCGGCTGCCCCATCTCCAGCAGCGGGCCCCTCGGCGCGGTGAGCAGCAGCAGCGCCCATGGAGTCCGCCAGGCGCCGCTTCACCTCCTCCAGCCCCTGCCCTGCGCTCTCAGGGGACGCCTCCGCGGGCCACGCTGCAGCAGCAGCAGCAGCAGCAGTGGCAGGCACGGCTCGCGGCTCGCCCTCTGTCCACAGCAACCGCTGGATTGCCTCCGCTGACGTCCCCTCGCGCCCTGCGCCCTCTGCCTTGCCTGGTTTCTGCGCTGCTGCCCCCCCTTCGGTTGCCTCCGCTTCTTTTATGGCCGGGGCAGCGGGGGCGGGGGTGGGGGTGAGCCCCATGCGGTGCGAGATGGAGGCGAGCAGGGTGAGAGGGGAGGCGGAGGGGGGCAGGGGCGAGACGGCCGGCAGAGGCGAGACAGTGGTGGGGGCGTCCAGCACACTGCAGGGATTGAGGAAAGGCAAAGGGAGGAAGGATGGAGAGCCGTGGGTAAGGAATGGCAGTGGGATGAGGGATGGTAGCCAGCGCACAGAAAGGATGGGGGATACAAACGTCAAAGGTAAAGGAGCACGAGACGCTCTGATTCCAATTTTGAGGCGCCTCAAAACGAAGCTCTGATTCCAATTCATGCAGCATCTGATAATCATCAATGCCTTTTAAGCGAGCGTCTGTCACCTCTCCCCCTTCTCCCACGCGGCCAGCAGGTCGTGCAGCTGCACGCTCTTGGCCCCGCCCTTCACATGCGCTGACGGTGACTCCAGTGTCAGCGCCGCCCCCAGCTGCTCGTACAGCTCGTCCCGCCTCCTCTGCTCCCCCTCCGCCCTCTCCCGCTCCTCCCTCTCCCGCCCCTCCCTCTCTTGATCCTCCACGCTCGCCCCGCCAGCCTCCTCTCCCCGTATCCCCACTCGCCTTCTGACCTCCATAGCTGGCTTCCCTCCCCCCGCCATGCCCCCACCATCCAAGTCCCACTCGGCTTCCGCCTCCCCCTCCCCCTCCGCCCCCCTGTCCGCAATCACCAGCACATCCGCGCTCCCCCTGCCCCCCCTGGCGCGCCCAGGCTGCATCCAGGGGGAGGGGGAGAAGGGCTGGGGGGACATAAGCGCAGAGGCAGGGGAGTGGAGTGGGGAAGGTCGTTTCCAGGGGAGGTCGGATGGAAGAGAGGGGGAGGGCTGAGAGGAGGAAGGCTGAGAGGGGGAGGGGTGGGAGGGGGACGGCTGAGAGGTGAAGTTCATCTTAACCAGCAGGTCCAAAGACAACCCTATCTTGTTGCCGGGGCCGGCGGTGCCCCCCCTCATGCTGCCCCCGCTGCCCCCCCTGCTGCTCCCCACGCCATCCCCCTGCTGCTGCTGCTGCTGCTGCTGCTTTTGTCTCGCGTCCGCCCTAGGAGGCAGTCCCAGGGGCATTCTACCCCCTCCACCTCCCGCTCCCCCCGCCCCCCCCATGCCCCCTGCGCCCCCTGCCAGGTCCAGGTGCTGTGGCCCCGCTGCTGCTGCTCTGTCTGCCGCTGCCCACGCACCTGCAGACGCGGCTTTCCCCCTGCCGCTGCTCCTCTCCTCGTCCAGAGAAACCGACAGGTGGCGGTACCGCTGCAGCACGCGCACTCGATCGCCCGCTGCCCTGCTGCTGTCGCCCATGCTCGTGCTCACGGCGCTGCTGCTGCTGCTCCTCACACCAGCAGCGAACGAAGAATAGCCGCTGCTGCTGTCGGCACTTGCTCCTGCCATGCCGAGCCCACTCCTGCCGGCTCGCTCACCATGCGAGGCAGAAACAGTGGAGCTGCGAGGGAACAAGTCACCGCTGCCGCCACTGCCGTGCAGCCTGCCTCCCGTGCCACCGATACTGATGCTCCCACCCACACTCCCACTGCCACCACCGCTGCCGCTGCCCCCCGTGCCAGCCATGGAGTTGAAGCGCGGGAAGGCAGGCGTGAAGGAGGGCATGCGCCCTCCGCTGGAGTGCGGGCGGTGGTCGAGCGGGTCGAGCAGCAGGGCTTGCGCGCGCAGGCGAGGGCGCGTGACGAAGATGTCCTCCTCCAGGGACGCGGGGGGGGGGAGAGTAGAGGGGCCTGCGCTGGAGGGGCGCGGGACAGAGGCGGTGGGGGAGGAGGGGAAGTGGGAGGCGGATGTGGCGGCAGTGTGTGCAGCAGCAGAGGGGGAGGAGGCGAGGATGGAGTCGGGCGAGGCTGCTCGCGCTGCATGCGACGCCAATCCACTCGGCTTAGCAGCGGCTGCATGGGGTGCGCTGTGAGCAGCAGGCGTGGACGCCTGTGAGTCCGCGGCGCCAAACTCGTCCGCGCCATCCATGCTGCTGCCCGCCTCGCCCTCGCCCTCGCCCATGCTGCCAGGGCTCCCTGCAAACCCCTCGTTCAGTGCCGTCTGCGCATGTGGTGCAGGAATGGACATGAGTGAGGAGCACTGAGGAGCAGAGGACCGCTTGAGATACTGAAATCTACAAATAGTTGACAGAGTCAATTTCATTTTATGACAGTCAGTCAGTCTCAGTCAATGACAAAGTCAGTTTCAGTCCAAGACAGTTAATCTCGGTCAACGACAGCTAGTTTCAGTCAAGGACGGTCAATCTCAGTCAATAACAGTCACCCCCAGTCAACGGCAGCAGCTCACCTCGTAGCACAGCTCGCAGACCTTCGCCTTCACCCCTCCTGACTCAATCTGCGACGGATGGGATTCAACGCGTTAAAGGGGGAATGAATGGCCGATCACACGAGCACGACAGCCCAACTACTACAGCTCAGCTCCACGTCAGCTGGTAGAAGCGAGTCCACATCCCACGTGCCAGATCATGTTCCTTGCTCATGATCGTCTCACCATGCCTCTGCCGTCTCACATGCCCCTGCCGTCTCAAATGCCCCTGCCGTCTCACCATGCCTCTGCTGTCTCAAATGCCCCTGCCGTCTCACCATGCCTCTGCTGTCTCAAATGCCCCTGCCGTCTCACCATGCCTCTGCTGTCTCAAATGCCCCTGCCGTCTCACCATGCCTCTGCTGTCTCAAATGCCCCTGCCGTCTCACCATGGCGCTCACGATCGTCTCACCATGGCACTGTGGGGGTTGAGCGGCAGCACGTAGCTCGTGCACTTGCTGCAGTACACGTTGCCGCAGCACCGGCAGTGGTGCCTGCGCGCCGAGCAGCAAGGACAACATAGCGCGCGTAAGAGAGCACATGGCAGACGAATGGAGCCGCGAGCTCAATCGATCAGGGGAAGGCTCTCGGTGCACGCGAACCGCAGTGGGGTGGAGAATGCGACGGCTTACTTGCGGCGGCGGTGCGAGAAGTCCTTGGCGCACGCGGGGTTGGTGCAGCGTTTGAACGCCTCCTCCGGCATCCAGTGGCTGCGCGAAACCTCGCTGCCCGGCCCCGGCGAGTCCACCCACTCCTCCGGCTCCGGCGGCGACGCCGCCGAATCCGCCTCGGGACTCCACATTGCGACTAACTACCTACTCCAAAGCACAAATTCGTCGCAATAGTGTAGTATCGTGCGGGCTTAATCCAGGAGCAGGGTCAGACGCAACGAGAGCGAGGTCAGAATGGTGGAAGGTCACTGGTCGTTGTGAGCACACATGACCATGGAGGTGCATCTTCACTCGACTCGACTGGCGTGAGGGCCAAGGTGAGCAGCGCAGTGGTCACTGTGGCACTGCGCCATGCCGTTCGCTCCTGCTGGCGGATGATGGATGGATGCTGTGTGGTGCAGTAGAGCGGTGTGTGTTTTCCCCCTGCTTCCTGCCCTCCGATACAAGAATCGCCCGTTTCAAGGATCTCGGGGGTGTGGTCGGTAGGTTCGGCCGAAAACGTCTGGCTCGGTGACGGTTTGGGTGCCCATTGCAGCCGTACAGGTTCAAGAGCCGTCTCGCTAAAAGGCTTTCAAAGTGATGGCTCACACGTTTCATGGGAATTGCAATAAAAACTCCCTAGGTTTTATCTAGACAAAACTATGACCCACAACCACCCAACACAACTTTCAACTACGCAAAACATGTCCAGCATGCTCTGCCTGTAAATGTGTCAGTGCCCTGGCGCCTTCCACAGCTTCACTTTTTTGTCCGCACTAGCTGTGGCAAGTAAATGCATTGGCTTTGATTCTCCAGCTGGAAAGAGGGCGCAGATAGCAGAAAAGGGAAAAATATTATGGACCAAAGCGACAACATGGCGTAAGCGGTCATAAGCGGCATTTGGTAAACCTTAAAGATCAAGAGTTACTTACCAATGGGGACGGGCTTAGGTGACCACGCCATCCACGTGATAGCATCTACACGTAGTGGATCACATGAGCACACAAGGATGAGTCAAGCCACGATGGGTGGGGAGGCCGAAATCGCTGGCAAATAAAGATACGCCCAAGCAGGCTGATGTATGTGACCCCATGTAGGTACCAGTGCCTCACCGGTATGAGCCTGCTCGTCCGCCGTGACAATGCTGCCGCCCTCCAGCTCATACCACAGCAGTGCAGCCCCCACTGTGACGGCCAGCAGGCGCCCATCAGGGCTCACGGCTATTCTGTCCAGCAGCGGCAGGGTGGGGCCCGCGCTCTTCTTGCCCTTCTTGCCCGCCGGGGCTGCTGCTGCTGCAGCGGCAGTGGCAGCTGCAGCGTCGGATGTGGCGGTGGAGGGCAGCGGCAGGATGGGGAAGGTGTGGCGGCACTTGGGGTCCTCGTCCAGGTGGTAGCGCACTGGGGTGGGGGAGAGTGGGGAGGTGGGGGAGGGAGGATGGATGGGGTCTAAGACATGAAATTTTCCAGAGAGGGAGTCATAACCAGGGAAAGGGTGAAGGCACGGAGAGCAAGAGACAAGGGGCGGGTTGAGGAAGTAAGGAGGCACCATCGATGTTCCAGATCTTGATGGTGCCGTCCTTGGACGCCGTGACCATGCCCTTGGAGTCCCATGTGAACGCCAGCCACGTCACCGCGCTCTGCACTCACACACATGCACACAAGGGCAAGGAGCATAGCGGGTGAACGACAAAATACCGATTTCATCAACAAACAGCAAAGAGAAGCATGTAACGCAGACCTGCATGCTCTGTAACAATTGCATGGCAGGTTCTGACTTGCCTTGTGGCCCTTGAGCTGCATGATACGTGTCACGTTTTGAATGGCTCCATCCCGCCCATACACCAGCTCCCATATCTGCAAAACGGCATTGCAGTATGCAGGCCATCATCACATCAGACCGACCCCCACACGCACTAGCAAGAAACAACGAAGCAAAGGTTGGGAAGCATGGGTTCTCACAGAGAATTGCATTCAGCAACAATGGCATGTAGCATGCACGCTGAACCATCGACCATGAGTGCCATACCTTGACATCTGCTGTGAACGCTGCGATTGCCAGGAAGCGTCCGTCTGGCGAGAGGGCGGCCATGGTGTTGCGGAGCTGGTTGGAGTCCACCTCGCCCACCACCTTGCCATCCGCCGCGCCCCACACCACCACGTCCGTTGCTGCCATGGGGTGCAAGAAAGGGGTTTGTAGCCATCAAGCGAAGTGGGAAGTGGGTTTGAGAGAAGTGGGAAGCACAGACGGACAAGAGGTGAAGCATGGGAGCAGGGGAAGGAGACTGAAGAGGAATGCACAAGGCAGTGCAGCGTACCTTCTGATGACGTGGCGATGACAGCAGTGCCGTCACCTGGCCCCTGCGTGGAGACGGCTGAGCTGATGGAGATGATGGCCTTGCCGCCGTGCGCCGGCCGCTGCTCCCACTTCACCTCCATTGGCGCCTGCTTGCCCTCCTTCCGTGCCTCCTCCAACGCCCTGCCTGCACCATCACACACATGTGGAGGGGGGGGGAGGGGGGTGGCTATTGAGGGTGGTCTGGAACTGACAACCGCAATTGCAGCGGAACCGCGAATTGCGGAGGGTGGAGGGTGGCCTGACCTGTGGCAGGGGCGCGCGTCACTGACCTGTGGCGGGTCCGTAGAAGCGCATGCAGCTGCCAAAGGGGCTGGTGCCTGAGACGGCCACCTCCGTGGCTGACAGCCCAAACGCCACGCCCACTGGATGCACCCCCGGTCCTGTGTTGATGCGGCGGAACCTGGGGGGGGGAGAGGGGAAGGAGGGTCAGGGTAACGCGAGAGAGAGATGGCGCGAAAGAGGGAAGGGGGGAGGAGAAGGATGAAGGGGCGAAGAGGAAAGGAGTCAGATGTGAAGGCTTAAGAGTGGGAGAGAAGGTTGAGGGGAACGAAGGGTGAGAGGGAGAAGAAGCGGTTGAGAGGAGGATGTGGGTGCGCGAGCAGAAAACGCACTTAATGCTCTTGGCAGTGACGTCATCCAAGGTGTACACTCGCACCACTCCATCGCCACACGCTGCAGGCAGGCACCACATGGAGAGCACGAGGGCAACACATGGAGAGCATGAGTGCAACACATGGAGAGCATGAGTGCAACACATGGAGAGCATGAGGGCAACACATGGAGAGCACGAGGGCAACACATGGAGAGCATGAGGGCAACACATGGAGAGCATGAGGGCAACACATGGAGAGCATGAGGGCAACACATGGAGAGCATGAGGGCAACACATGGAGAGCACGAGGGCAACACATGGAGAGCATGAGGGCAACACATGGAGAGCATGAGGGCAACACATGGAGAGCATGAGGCCAACACATGGAGATGGCTTATTGAAATGCATGTCAGCCGCATGTACAGGAACAGTACACGTGGGGATGGTGCATGGGATGGCTTATTGAAATGCATGTCAGCCGCATGTACAGGATGCATATAATTGCATGCAGCATGGATGTGCATGCAGCATGGGTGTGCATGCAGCATGGATGTGGAGGGACGCGAATGTCGCAGTCAGGCGTGCACCTCTCTGGGGTGCATGCTTAAGGTGAGCCGCGCACCTGTGGCGAGCGCGGCGCCGTCGTGTGAGAAGCAGAGGCCCGTGACGGCGTCGCCGTGCTTCAGTGTGTTCACCTCCAGCGGGTGCCGCGGGCCGGAGGGCGCCTGGCGGCGGATTCACGAGCGAATCGCATGGATTGGGCGAGAGTAGAAAAGAGCGGGTCAGGCGAGAATCGGGAGAATGAAACGGGATCGACGTGGAAAACAAGCCGAGGGGCTTAGGCTACTGGTGCGCTGATAGGGGGTCCTGACGAACTGTGGAGTACGGAAAAAACGGTCAGGTCCTTACTAGGGGTGTGGGGTTTCAATAGACGAATTAGAAACGCGGAAAAGAACAGCAGGAACGCTCGGCATAAAGGTGGCGACGAATATTTCAACAACCTTTTCAGAAATCGGTCTCCGACGAGGCGCTTGTTTCTGGCTCTGCGACTGCTTCTTCGCGTCTTTCTGCTCTTGATCTGGCGCTTTTTCAGTCGATTCGGACTTTCGCGATATCAGCAACTGCAGAAGTCCGAAAACTACGACGATCGCAACCGCTACCCATACTCTAGGATCTTGGAGCAAATCCATGGCGGCAGATTCAGGATTGATTTGAATGAAGTGGAGTCAGGCGGGGAAGAATTCGGAGTGTTTCCTGAAGGTTGGTTTTCACGAAGGTCTTTGTGCCTGCGGTATGTGCCAAGCAATGGTTTCGCTTGGTTTCGCCAAAAGTGGCAATGTAACATTGCTGCTGGCGAAACGTAAAAGAGACACAAAAATTGTCGCTCCCACGGGTAAACGACGTGGCTGACAGGGCCTGACGGGCGACGGAAGTTGTCAGCGTCGTGCTTTCAGCTGCACCTCCGATGTTGTCGCGCTGCGACGCTTCAGATGGTTCAACCCGTCCTCGGGATTGCCGGGCTGAGGCACTCACCACCACAGCAAACAGCAACAGCCTGCTGGACCGTAGACTTGTGCGAGTACTCGCGCCATAGCCTCGACGCTTTTACTACGGCTTCCCTCGCACCTCCTCTGGCATCCCAAAGCCACGCGACCTGATCATGGACGTGCTTTATCTGCGTGGAATGAGCGACGTAAGTTAACTTACGCGAAGCATTTTGATCGTTCCGTCGGGTTCGTGGGTTCGAGCGTTGAGCCTCCGCATTCCGGCAGCATGCTGCTAGGAGACGTCGAACCGTGCGAGCTAGAGCAAAGACTACAGCAGCAATGGGGCGCGGCCCGTCAGCTCGCCTCTGACCTCCAATCCTCCGTCGCCGGTTATCTCGCCGCGTCCGTGCAACCGCCCTCCCTGAGCGATCTCGGCCTTCACTCGTCGACAGCCTCAGATCGCGTCTGCGATGCGACGTGTAGCCGCGACAACGCTAGCGACGGGGCAGAACGTCGGGATGAAGATAGAGCGCGGTTGCGGGAAGCAGCGATGGCGCGGCTACGTGGCTTTCGGTGGCAGGCGCAGGTGATCCTCCAGCAGAGCACTGTGCTGGCTGACGTCACCTTCCATCTCTGCGACTTCTTCGAAGCTTCGTCCTCCTTAAGCCCCGAAGAGCTTTCTCGGTTGGCAGCAGAGAGCTCGTTGCTGCAGCTCTTCGAGGCTTCCTCGAACCTTCCATCCGACGAGGACTCGTCTCGGCTGCTGTCTAGCAGTGCGTGTTCAGTCGAAGGAGCGAGAGAGGTAGCGCGTGTGACAGTAGCGGGATCAGGAGAAGGCGGCGGGGCGGAGGATCCAGGAGAAAGCGAATGGGACGCGCCGAAGGCAGGCGTTGAGGAGGCAGTTGGGGAGGAGCCCGCGGAGATGGCGGAAGGCGAGGACGTCGGGGAGGGGGGGAACGCGCTGAAGGCGTGGGGGGCGAAGGGGCAGCGCAAGACGCGCACGCGGAGGCGGTTTTACCCGGACGAGCGCGACGAGCTGCGGAAGGCGCTGCTGGAGCACCTGACGCTGATGCGCCTGGAGGAGGCGCGGGGGGGGAGGGGGGAGAGCCAGTGGGGGGATGGCGCATGGGGGATGGGAGGGGACGGGGACACGGGGGGAGTGGACGGTGGGAGAGGAGGGCATGGGGAGGAGAGCGGGGGAGAGGGTGAGGTTGGCTGGGCGGAGGAGGAAGCACTGATGGCGCAGGCAAGAGCTGCTGCAGAGGCTGCAAGGGCTGCTGCTACGGTGAGGCGTTGGGGGGAGGGGGAGGAGGGGGAGGCGGAAGGAGGGGTGGGGAGAGAGGGCGAGTGGGCGGAGGAGATGGGAGGCAGACCACCGACCCTGCAACAGGGGTCACCTCGCAGGGGAGGAGGGGGGGGAGGGAGGGGCAGGGGGTGCATGGCAAACGGGGGGATAGGGGCAGCTGTGAGTGCTGCTGCGGCTGTAGCTGACGTGGCGCTGATGGTGGAGCAAGAGGTGGAGAGGGAGATGAGCCGCAAGGACGAATTCTCGCATGCTAGTGCCACAAGCCCACCCCGGGCGCATCCACTGTCGGTCACATGGCAGCAGCCATGGTGGCTGGCAGGCGCTGCCTCTGCTGTCCCTGCTGCTGGCATGAATGCGCCTGCCAGTGCCATGGAGCCCTTAGGTTGGCCAGCACAGAGAGCAGCACAAGGAGGGCGGATAGAGGAGAGAGGATGCGGGGGGTTTGCGGAGTTCAGTGGGCGAAGTAGTGCGGGTTTTGCGGCATTTGCTGCAGGTGGACTGGCTGGTAACCAGCAGACCAGTGCAGTTGGAGCAGTCACCAGCAGCAGCCGGGGCGCCAGAACCATGGGGCACCAGTCAGAGGCGACTTCAGGATTTGAGGAACCTGGGAGTGCTGGGAAGTCATTGTCACCACTCTTCACACTTATGAGGAGATAGTGCTCGCCGTGCTTATGGTACATATGGGGGGATGGCGAGGGAATAGTGGCTCTACAACCCAGGACAGGCAGCTACTACTGTACACAAATGACACTAACTACAATCTAATGAGATCTTGTGCTTGTCCTGCACGTTCCACCAAAACATGTCACGTGTCATAATCACAGAAACGTCTGCACGAGTTATGGCGTGCAATCCATGCGTGGGGTTCAGAGGAACTTGGCGAGGTTGTCCTTGAGGTCCTCTATCTTAGCGCCTGTGTGGCTGTGCACCAACTCGCCCCCGCGGAAGAAGCGGAAGTTGGGCACCGCCCGCACGCCCCACTCCCGCATCAGCGCCTGCTCCACAAGAAAGAGGGAAGGGGAGCAGTGTTTTCCGGGGAATAAGCAAGGCAGCACCATTCTGGCGCTTATGGGAAGACAAGAGGGGCTGACGGCAGTGGGGCGGAGGGAATTGGGGGGGGGAGAACAGTGGAGTTAGAGGGCACACAAAGGGAACATAGGGAGATGGCTGGGAGAAGAACCAGCAGTGTACCTTGGTGCCGTCGTCGTGGTCGCCGTTGATCTTGAGGAAGACGGCGGTGGGGTGCTGCAGGCTGAGCTCCACCACCTTGGGGTAGATGAACTTGCACGGCCCGCACGTGCGCGTCGAGATGTCCAGCACCACCTGCGCGCAGCGTGGGGTGGGATAAGGCAGGGCATGGTGTCGTCGGTAACACAGCATAAGGCATTTACGCGTTTATGTCAAGATGTGGCGTGGTGTGGATTCTGTCCTTTTAACTACAAGGACAATAGATTTGTATTGCGAGTTCAGCAGCTTGAATCTGACAGCAGCCAGAGTAAACGGTTTTAGGCTGTGATCCTCGTAGTGTAAATGTATGTATGGTAAATGGTTGCCATGCCAATGTGTCATCTGAATGGGTGCCATGTCCATGTGTGCCACGCCAAATGCATGTTAAGGGCCAGGAGGTGCAATCTACTCACCAGCTTATCGCCGGCCTTGGCAACTTGATCGTAGAATTCCTCTCCTGCGAAAACAAGTGTCAAGTACAATGTTAGCGAGCACTGGTCAGACCGCAAGTCATGACAACCAGTGACGCCAGCAACTCACGGCTTGTCACTTCGACGACGTTGCCGTGGCCATTGGGGCCGAGCCGCTCGAGATCAGCTGCTGAGAGCGACGCCGAGCAGCGAAGCGCCTGGCGCCGAGCAATGCGCGGAAGCGACGACGGGGAGACCAGTCTGACTGTCCTCCGCACGGGCAGGACAGCGCGGCGCTGCGATAGTTGAGGCGCCGCGACTAGCGAGGTGCGGATTGCCAAGGCATCCATGGCTGCTGCAGTCTGAAGAGGTAATGCGAAGCAACGCTATTTGCAGGAATCGAGTGCGAGGGCTAAGTTGGCGAACGAAGCAGCAACGAGGTGACATATGGGCTGCTCCAGCACTGGAGAACTCGAGGGCCCGATCCTTGGCACACATTCTGCCTCGATGGTAACGTAAATACTTCGCGACATCGAAGTGCTGAGCTTCGCAAAGAATGTGGCCGCGATGCTGTGTGGAGGAAGGGGCCTGTGACACGTCAGCAAATGGTCTGGCGAAGAGTGCGAAGAATTACCAGTCCACATGGTCTCCACCCGCCCCATTTCTGTGGCAGAATTCCACGTGGCGGCAAGTGTGATACCCCCACAAGCCAGCACACGAAAAGCTGGAGAGTGAGGTCGGATGAGATATCGATACGTGCAGTACAGCGCAATGACATTCCGTGGAAGCGAGTTGTATAATACCTGCAATAAAAAAAACACATGCTCACTACTACAAATCCGTCGCTAAATCCTCGATGGCACTCCCAAATCCAGGAAGCATCAGACCAGATCCTCCAGGAATGGTGTCCAACGTCTCTGTGACCACCCCTTGGCTTTGTCTTCTACACACATCCCAATGCCCAATCAGCTTAGCACATGAGCTTGATCCCTCCCCTCCTAAGTAGCACGTGCTCGAAGATTCCGGGCGTAAGTTCTTCACAGCCAAGCAAAAGAGATCTCCTTGACAGGAAACCATCCAGAGCCTAGGCTCGGAGGCTCCAGGAATCATTTGCACGGGAAGGGAAGCTTGGTAGCCCTCCAGACTAGGAAAATGTCCAGGCTCCAAGTGAAGCGGTGGGATCCATCTGCCACACAGAGAAAGGTCGCCTTCACCAGCTGCAGAGCAGGCGCATGGTTGAGGGCTCACACCGCATCCACTCCCTTCCATGCTCCCAATTCCCGTCCTCTCACTAGAGACAGCAACACACACAAAATCTTCACCCCCCCCCCACTGTGCAAAGCTGATAGCAGCAGCAATACTCCTGAATGCACCTCCGCCCACAGCAGCAGTGAGCGCAGCACCCACCACCCCCACTGCTCCCACAGCGCCTGCAGCACCTGTAGAGCCCACAGTTGCCCCCCACAGGCTGTGCATGCTCCCTCTCACGCGCATGCAGGGGGAAAGGGTGGCTGCAGGGGGTGCTTCAATGCAGAGAGATGAAGGGCGGAGTACGGAGAGAAGGGGGGATGAAGATGTGCCACTGGCGGGGGAGAGAGGGGGAGGTGGGGAGGTGGGGGAGGGGGTGTGGCTGCCTGGTTCTTCAACGTCAGGACAGTGAGGCGGGGCGAAGGGGTCAATACGGAAGAGGTGCGACGTGCCGTGGGCGGAGAGCAGGGCGAGCAGCGAGGAGTCGGGGGAAAACGCGATGGCTCGAGGGATCTGCACAGTGCAGGGTGCGCGGAGAGCGGTATTGGGAAGACCAAGCGCAGAGGGATTTGGCAGTGAGTGAGCTAAAGCAGACAAGTTGCGCGACGGAGCACTCTCCTTGCCTGGCGGAGCAGTGCTGCAGCCCATCACCGCTGCCAAGTGGTTCATCCTCCCATCAATGCGCCCAAAATCTCCATGTCTCACCGAGTATGTCAGCCCGCGCTGCAGCCAGTAGAGCAGCACTGCTCCTCCCTCCACCGACGTCGACCCACCGACCCATTGCTGCTGCTTCCACCCCTCTTGCCGCCCATCGATGCGCCACACGCCCACCGAGGTGCCGTGGATGGACGCTGCAGCCAGCAGCACTCCCGACGGGTCGAACTGCAGTGCAGCAAGGGGCGATGAGCCGAGGGCGGGAAAGCACGCGATTGGCTGGCGGGAGACGACGTCTTGCAGAGTGATGTGGGGGTGAGAGGGGGCGAGGGACGGCGGAGCGCGAGGAAGCGAGACGGTGGAGTGAAGGAGGGTGGGGGAGTGTGGAGGTGCGGGGGGAGTGTGGGGTGCGGCATAGGCCAGCCAGCGAGGGCCGAGGGCGAGAGGCAGAGGGAGGGGGGCGGGTGGGGAGACGGGGAGTAGGGAAGGAGTGGAGGGGTGTGAGGAGCTGCTGGCTTCTGCAGTGGAGGAGGACAGGGAGGGGTGTGAGGAATTGCAAGTGGAAGGGGTATTCAGGAGACGTGTGGGGTGGTGGGCGAGGGAGGGAGGGATGAGGGCATGGGGGATGGGGTGTGTGAGGAAGGAGAAGATGGGGGTAAGTGCGGTGTTACTGTAGCAGAACACCTGCTCCCTCTGCACCACCGCTATCACGCGCCCGCTCGCCCGCACGCCCACCACCGGCCCGTCCACCTCAATGCTGCCCACAAAATCATGCCGCCGCAACGAGTAGAGCGCCACTCGCGTCCTCCCACCTCCACCACCACACCCATTCGCCGTGTTCTCCGCTCTGCTCACTGTGCTCGCCCTGGCTGCGCCGCCACACCTGTCACACCCCGCTGTGCCACCACGCCACTCCTCCTGCTGCCCCTCTGCCTGCCCTTGCCTCCTGCCCGCTTTCTGCTGATCCCTGCCCGTTGACTCTCCCCCCTCCTCACCACCCCAGTGCCCCAAGCCAGAGCCACCACCATCGCCACTCACCCTCTCGCCCACGCCTCCGCAGTACTCCCACACACATCGGCCTGGCCTCCACCCCACGTCCTCCCTCGTCCCGCCTGCACTCTCTGCCTCTTGCTCCAGCCTTTCCCCAGCGCCCACCGCCTGCGCGCTGCTGTCTGCGTGCTGCGTGCACGCGCAAGTAGGAGGGGCGGCGCGGGTGGCAGCAGGGAAGGCGACGCACACGAGGGGGCGATGGGCGGCCCACCGGTCGCACGCATCTTCACCAACACCCTCCTCTGGATCCTCTGGATCCTCTGGCCACCCGTGCTGGCCGTCCAGCCCCTGCGTCTCGCTCTGCCACGATGGCATGGGCGTTGAGTCGCGGTGCGCTGGCAGCGGGCGGATGATGGGGTGGGGCACGGCGCACAGCATGGACACCAGCTCGCCCCGCCACGACACCAGCTGAGAGGGCGACGGCACCGCGGCACTACTGCTCGTGCCGCCACCGCGAGCGCCGCTGGAAGCGCGGGCGTGCGGCGGGGTGGCGGCATGCAGGTCCCAGACGTGGAAGCCGGTGGTGTACGCCAGCAGCAGCACCTGGCGCCGCGACGAGCGGCTCATGTGGAGCGTGTCGAAGCCCAGCCACACCACCTGCCGCACGCGGTCAGGGAGGAACTTTCGTAAGAAGCAATAGTAGCCATCGGTGAAGCGGCTATACCATAGCGCTGCGATGGCCATGACGGCACAGCCATCGAAGCAACGCCGATTCCACACAAGGCGTCTTAAAATGACGTTTTCCGAAATTTAGAGATTTATCCTCGCCGAGCATTCTCCAGCTCCCCTGTGGCGCTCACCTGGTCCTTGGCGTGGAATCTCGCCGCCACGGCCTTCACCGCCTTGACCACCGTCGATACCGTCGCGCCCGCCACGTCCATCGCTGCCTGCATCGTCGCTGCTCGCTCGTGAGCGACCTAGCGGAAAGCCCGGGACACTAGCCACCACCATACCATCTAGCTGCTTGCAGAGCTTGTTTCGATCCAGTCCCTAACACGCCAACCACCGCCTTCCGCCTGTTTTCTCTCCCATCAACTCCTCTCCGTTTGCCACGAATCTGCGTCATGACGTCGCCTCGCTCCTCTCCCCCTCAGCGTGAATTAGAAACCTCCGTCGCAACATGCAGCAGCGCACGCGGAAAAAAAGCCTCAGCATGCGCGTCGCACAGCTCTTATGGCTGTCGCTTGGGTGACAGGTCCATTCGCGGAGTGATCGGACGGTGGAGGAATGCGATGAAGGCTGCTTTCCGTGCGCCTGGCGTGGCGGTGGAATCGTAAGAGGTCAGGCAGGGTCAGGGGACACGCGCGCTGTGATTGGCTGACGTCGGATGCAAATCTGGTTGGTTCGACTTTCCCCGTAGAGGCGTCAACGTTACGGTTTAACCGGCTTACATTGTGCAGTACACTGATCACATAACTTGACATCCGCATAACAAGCACACAAATAACAACGCATCTGTTTCCTCCTTATGCACCCTCCCCATGCCTGATTTGTTGGCTTGGCACGAGAGGATCTGGCCCTCTCAGCCGCCTATCTCTAGGCTCTTCTAGGCTAGGCGCAACTCTTATATTGGCGGACGTGGTTGAGGCAAAGGGCCAGGAGGGGGAGAGGGCAACAACTTGGCCAATGACAATGAGAGTGGGTGACACCAGTTGGGCCGTTGACACAGCTGCTGGCAAATCCTCTAACGTGGCAAAAACCTGCAATGCACAAGCAGGAGGCACATACAGAGTCTGCATATGCGCACGAACGATACATGGCAATGTAAGCCTTGACACCATTGAAGCATGTCCCTGTTGATGCCATCATATCCATCCAACCACAACATCACACACGCAAGCCACCATGCCATCCCATGACTCACAGTGCGCTGAGCCGCCGTTGTGCCTCGCTCCACAGCCACAGCAGGAGTGCTCGTCGGCAACCCATTAGCCAGCAGGCGGGCGGCAAGAGCGGGCAGTGTGGCGAGCCCCATGTAGACCACGAGGGTGGCGTCGGGATCTGCGGCTGTGGTGGCTGCGTACAGGGGGTCGTCGCCTCCCTTGCGCTTGTGGCCCGTCAGGAACCGCACACTGCCGCATAAGAGGCATGGGGACGTGGGGAAGGGAAGTATTTAATGGAGGGCCTTGGAAGGCTTCGGGGACTAAGGGGATGGAGCAGGAGAGCAGAGAGGAATAGAGCAGAAGGCCAGGGCAAGGCGAATTGCTGAACGTCACTGACCCATGGAGACCGCAGCTCTGACCTGTTGGCAACGCCTCTGTGCGTGAGGGGCACGCCCAGCTCAGCAGCAATGCCGGAAGCGGCGGTGATGCCCGGCACGATCTGCACGCGGATGCCCTGCGCCTGCAGGTACTCCATCTCCTCGCCCCCCCGCCCGAACACCAGCGGGTCCCCTCCTTTGAGCCGCACCACGGCGGCGCCCGCCTCCGCGAAGGCGAGCAGCAGGTGCAGGATCTCCGCCTGCGTGCGCGTGTGGTACCCCGCCGCCTTGCCCACGTACAGCAGGCGCGCGGACGGCGCCGCCAGGCGCAGGATGGCGGGCGAGACGAGGCGGTCGTAGAGCACCAGGTCCGCGGACTGCAGCGCGCGCACCGCCTTCACTGCGACGGGGCGAGAGGGTGAGGGGGTTGAAGGGATAGAGGGGGAGTGGGGGGAATGAGGGGGAGTAGGGGGGATGAGGGGGAGTAGGGGGGATGAGGGGGAGTAGGGGGGATGAGGGGGAGTAGGGGGGATGAGGGGGAGTAGGGGGGATGAGGGGGAGTAGGGGGGATGAGGGGGAGTAGGGGGGATGAGGGGGAGTAGGGGGGATGAGTTGAAAATGGCACGAGAGTCAGCGGGGTGGGGCTACGGCAGCGGAGAGTGATCAGGGATGGGCGTGCAGTGCAGTGCGGCATGCGAGGCAGTGCAGCGTGAGGGGCAGTGCGGCATGAGAGGCAGTGCGGCACGAGGGGCGGGGAGACTGACGAGTGAGCAGGTCGGGGTCGCCCGGCCCGGTGCCCACGAGAAACACATTCCCCGGCCCCTCGCCGCGCGGCCCACCCTCCCCTTGCGCCCGCCCCTGCTGCTGCCCCGCCCCGCTCTGCGCCTTCGCGCGCAGCAGCTGCAGCATCTCCCGCAGCTCGGGCAGGCGATCCGCGATGTCCACCTCGGGAATGTCGTCCACGTCGTCGTCCTCCCCGGCCTCTGCAGCCAGCCTGAGCCGCTCGCTCCAAGTCAGCCCCTCAACCGCCTCGCGTTCCTTGGAACCGCGCGGCTCTGAATCTACGGCCGTGCGTGGCTCAGGGTTTGGAGCGAAATCTGACGTCATCGCAGCGTCAGCGTGAGCCAGCAGCTGCAGCGCGCCATCCACTCCGGGTAGCACGCGAGATCGGCACTCGTCGGCTGCTTTCTCCCCCCCCCTCCACTCGCCATCCGACGCTGCTGCCCGTTGCCCGTCGCCGTCCGCCACCCGCCAGTCCCAGGGACGCGCGTCCCTCACCTCCACGAACGGCGAGACGGCGGCGGACTGCGCGTCGCCGATCAGCCAACGGTCGGCAGGGGACCGCCTCGACTCGACGGATCGGGCCGGCTGGTGGGAGGGCGCTGCCCGCGTGGCATCGCGGGCGGACTGGCTGCAAGGACCGTGGCCGGCTCGAGCAGCGACGATCGATGAACTCGAGGGGACTCCGCACACAGCCCTGGCACTGCCGCGCGCTGCGAAACGCACTTCTCTGTTGGCGGCAGTGCCACGACGCGGGGGGGCGCTGCCGCTAACGAGGGAGGCATTGTGGCGCAAGGCTCTAGCGATCGCTGCGGGATCACTGCTCACGACAACCGCCATGGCTTCGGCGAGAACCAATGCTGACCGAGAACGATCCGTTGGATCCAACAACTATTGGGGAGCATGAGAGAAGGGAAACTGGGCTTAGTATCGGGGGTTGGACCTGTGGAGCTGAGTGCGTGCGACGAAAGCAATGTCAGCCAACTCCACCTGCACCGGCTTGCCCCTTGGTCCCCCTCAAGCACGCACGCCCTGCGCTTTTCGCTTGTTCCACCTCTCACTGCCACCACCATCGCTTCTGTGCCTGGACGGGGCAACTGTACCTTGCGCGGAGCGGCAAAAACGTCGCTTTGCGCGTGGCACGGGCAGGAAATATCTCGGCTTCTTCTTCATGGATCAACCGGCCTCGTGCTGGCCGAAAACAGCGGCCTTTGGGAGGCAGGCTGGTCAAAGAGAGGGAAAATGTAGCCTGTGGATAGTCGCCACGTTGCTTGTGACAGTGCTGTATCAGCTCAGCTGACCACATCAGATTATACTCGATAGTAGGACAGCAAAATCTCCTAAATTCATGTTTGATATGCGAATTCTGTACGCTGTACCAAACCGAAGAAGACCTACAACGGATGTTCCAATACTCGTGTATCGAGTACTCCACGTACCCCTTGATATCCACGTGTCGGTCTTACAAGCAGCCTCGAGATCGAATGACATTCCCTGTGATCATCTCGGGGGGCTGATTGCGGCATTCCCGAGAATTCGTCCTTCCCTCCCTTGGGCGCATCTGGCCTCGCAGTCAATCTGTGCTGTGCTCCACCCCTTGCTGCTTCACGCTGCTCCCACCCACCCCCTCACCTCACGCTGTTTGCTCACTCCATTCTCCCAGACTCTGCCTTCCACGCAATCCCTGTGTGCTTGCTGTCATCCAAAGCGCGACGCCGCTGACATTACCCATCTGAGGGCAGTAAGAGAGAACCTTTTTAGCCAGCAGATCAGGCGTCCGTTATGGCGGCACTGCTGCAGAGCATTGAGGTGCCTGTCGCGTCGTTGAGGGCAGCGCAACCGCTGCTCAAGAATCAACGGCTCTCGTCGCTTGCTAGCATCTCCCTCCAGTCCTCCAAGCCATTCCAACAACTGACTCTCAAATCCCACGTTTCGACGACAATTTCTCGAAATTCCCGCCGAGTGGGTTGCCGGGCAGCAGCGGGCGAGAGCGGCGCGAAGAAGGCGAGTTTGAGCGAGCGGCGGCCGGAGGAGGTGAGCGTGGCGGTGGTGGGCCCCACGGGGTACATCGGCAAGTTCGTCACGCGCGAGCTCATCAAGCGCGGCTACAAGGTCACCGCAGGTGCGCGCTCGGGCTAGCGAGACCTGCTGTTATTGCCAGAGAATGTCGCAGTAAGGTTCGTTTTTTCCTCTCTTGAAATCACCTGAACCCCGCTCTGTGCGCTTTGCGGTGGTGGCAGTGGCGCGCGAGCGGAGCGGCATCGGCGGAAAGAAGTCGGCGGAGGAGACAGCGCTCGAGCTGGAGGGCGCGACGGTGCTGTTCGCCGACGTGACGAGCGAGGAGGCGCTGACTCGCGCGCTGGACGGCACGCCCGTGGACGTGATCGTCTCGTGTCTCGCCAGCCGCACCGGCGGCATCAAGGTCAGCCACGGGGGCTGGGAGGTTTGAAGGCCGAGACGGGAGGGGCAAGGCTGAATTTGCATGCATGGTTTGCTGCCTTGCTGGCATCGGATTAATCTGTTATGTTTTGCAACCATTTGCGGGGCTGCATGTGGTGGGTGCGCGCAGGACTCGTGGCTGATCGACTACACGGCGACGAAGAACAGCCTGGAGGCCGGCAAGAAGGCCGGCGCCACGCACTTCGTGTTGCTCTCAGGTGACTATGCCGAAGCTGTCAGGCGATTGTGATAATGCTGTCAGGTGATTGTATTGAGGCAACCCCCCTTTGAGTGTCTCTCGCATAATTTCCCACCCTCACGACAACCACCCTTTACCCCCCATGTCTGCGTTTCCCCAACGTGCCTACTGCCACCCCCGCGCCTGCTGCCACCCCCGCGCCTGCTGCCACCCCCGCCCGTGCCCTCCGCACCCATGCGTGCGCTGGCAGCTATCTGCGTGCAGCGGCCGCTGCTGGAGTTCCAGCGCGCCAAGCTCAAGTTCGAGAACGAGCTGCAGGCCGACCCCGCCGTGACGCACAGCATCGTGCGCCCCACCGCCTTCTTCAAGTCGCTCGGCGGCCAGGTGGGTGCGCTGGGATGCAGTGCGGCCCTGCTTGGGGTGGGCCACGCATGCGTGTGCGCGCTCGGTAGCAGATTGTGGGTGTTGGAAGCATATGGAAATCAAATGTCGGCTGCTATAAGCTGTGTAGCGAACGAGGTGGACTTGAGAAGGAACGTGGCGAAGGGGCAAGAGGGGCATGGGGGGCAATGTAGCGACAAGGGGAGTCTTTCAACGGAGGTGATGTGATGAAGTCGCGGAAGGCATGGCATTGCTGGTGCGCTGCTGAATGTGGTCCATTCACAACTTGTAGCATTCTTTGCTGCATGTGCGTATGCAGGTGGAGAGTGTGAAGGGCGGCGGCCCGTACGTGATGTTTGGCGACGGGCAGCTGTGCGCGTGCAAGCCCATCAGCGAGGCGGACCTCGCCTCCTTCATTGCGGACTGCGTGCAAGGTGAGGGACGTTGCTTGCTGCCAGTGTGCTGCAATATGCAAGGGCATGCAGATGAACACAGACACAAGTGGATCAGATTGAACATGCATGTAACATGCCTGAACGAAAACAGCAGGTGCCATATCCACTTCCTCCCCAATCCCCCTCGCCTCACCTCCTCCACCACAACCTTGTGTGCCTGCTCTGCCCGCCCCTCAGACCCAGGCAAGGCCAACAAGGTGTTGCCCATTGGCGGGCCCGGGGAGGCGCTGACGCCGCTGCAGCAGGGGCAGATGCTGTTCGAGGTGGTGGGAAAGGACCCCAAGTTCATCAAGGTGCCCATCGGCGTCATGGACTTCGTGATCGGCGTGCTGGACCTGCTGGCCAAGGCGTTCACGTCGCTGGAGGACGCGGCGGAGTTTGGCAAGATCGGGCGGTACTACGCGGCAGAGAGCATGCTGGTGTGGGACGAGCAGCGGCAGCGCTATGATGCGGACGCCACGCCGAGCTATGGCAAGGACACGTTGAGGGAGTTCTTTGAGAAGGTGGTGCGGGACGGCATGGAGGGGCAGGAGCTGGGCGACCAGGCCGTCTTCAAATGAGGCGCGCCGAGGGGGAGGGAGAGGGGCGTTGCTGAGCCGGGTGACCAGGGTGCATTCAGGGGTGTAGTGAATAATCAAGCAATGCACACAAGCGTACTGTAGTTGATGGGTTTCGGAAGCCATAGCCATAACTGCATTCACATGTGGGGTTGGGGTGCAGCTGCTTGGTGTGGTGGCGCGACAGGGACCTCCCAGTCCAGGCAGCATCGGTGAATCTAGGCTGGTGGGAACCCAGGAGTGTCCAGTGAGCGGCACCCCGTCCGCTACCTATGAGAGCTACCTATGAGAGCACGGCGTGTTGGGCTGCACCCTGCAGCTGCCACATGCACTCAGTACGAGGGCTGGGAGATAGCTGGCCCGGACACTGGGTGAGCCATACAGTATTCACAGCTGCCATTTAGGTGGTGACACTTGTTGAAGCACTTGTGGCTTTTAGAAAAATGGAATATACAAAATTCCAGTCTAAACAAGGAACCCTACTCCTCTGCTTTCCCAACAAGGCATCTACCACAGGGCCTTGTTGGCGACATTGGACCTAGGAAACAGCAGGCTAAACGTCCTAGGCGGGTCAATGTGTACAGTCTACAGTACCGTACGTCCATCTGCCACATCACATGATGGTTGTCATGACAGCGGCATGCGGCAGCACCTTCCCCACAAACACATACGCCCCTCCGCCCAGCAGCAGCACGCCACTTGCGGGGTTGATCCACCCAGAGTACCGACGGACGGCTGAGATCTGTTTGAGCGCGCCGGTGCACGATGCGGCGACGAGCAGCGGCGTAGCGAAGCCCATGGTGTAGCTCAGCAGCAGCGCGCCGCCTGTCGCTGCGTCCTGCACGCAGGGGAGGGGGAGGGGACAGAGGGGAGGAGGCGGGATGAGGAGCGCACGGGGTGCAAGGGACGGGGAGTGGAGGGATAGTTGTGGGTGGAATGGTTGGTGTGCTTCGTGACAGGCTTTTTTCCACTGACTCTGCTGTGAGATTTTTGAAGAGCCACTGGCCCACCAGGGACAGCGAGTTTCCCACATGATCTGCCCGCCTCACACTCACCCTGGTGGACGCAACGAAAGCGAGCAGCGACGCCAGCACGGGGGTGCAGCACGGCGACGCCACGAACGCGAAGGCCGCTCCGCCCAGCAGCATCTGCACGGGCGCGGGCACCCGCGCGCTCACCGCCGCGGGGCTGAATCGCGCCGCCAGAGGCGCGGGCAGGTGAACGGGCAGCAGACCGAGCAGGTGCAGCCCGGCCAGCATGGCGAGCAGCGACACGGCGGCGGGCAGCGCGTCGCCCACGTCGCCCACGGCTTGGCGGCCGGCGAGCGCCGCGGCGACGCCCATGGCGGTGCGCGTGGCGGCGAGGCCGAGCGTGAAGAAAATGCAGTTGAGCGCCGCGCTGGCGGGACGCGCGGACGGCGCGGGGGGGAGAGGGGCGACAGGGTCGGAGGAGGAGCAGCAGCAGGGAGGGGGAGAGGCGGTGGAGGGGGGGGACGAGAGGGGGGAGGATGAGGGCGGGGGAGGTGAGGCGGAGGGGGGAGCGGCGGAGTCGAAGCCGGCGATGAAGCCGACGGTGAGCGGCAGCAGGCTGAGCGTGCACGGCGCGAAGCTCGTCAGCAGCCCCGCGACGAAAATGATCGCGAGAGTCGCGGGCGACAAAGCGGCCAGGTCGTGCGAGTCGGCCAGGTGGCTGGCGAGGTAGAGAAACTCGTCCACGCTGTCTTGAAGCGTGAATGCAACGTCCTGCCACGTGTTCATTGCTGATTCGAAGCCAATGTTTTGGAGAAGGTTGAGGCCTGTTGACAAGTTGGGCAGCGCTGCAAGGAAAGGCTGGAGTTGACTCGATGATGACGTGGCAATCATTTGATCCGCAAGTGAGTCGAACGCGTGATGCGACTCGGAAATCAGGGTGGCTGCAGCTGCGGGTGACGTCATGATGAGCGGAAGGACGGCGGCGGGGAGGAGCGGCACGGGGAGCGATGGGAGCCTCTCGCCGCCAGCTGCGGCGGGATGCGGGCCTTGAGAGCTCGAGCTCCTTCCCGCCTCGACTCTCCACGATGCATGTTCGGGCGACACGGGTTGCCGCACGGCTGCCATTGCGACGTTTAGCCGGCGATGACTAGCAACCTGAGCGCGACGAAGCTGGACGCCGGCATGGCGACGAGTGCATGCGAGAGGTGGTGCTTCGGCGATGGCTGCTGGCCGAGGGACGGACAAGACGGCCATGGAAGACACGGGAACTCAGTTGTATGCTTTTTTGAGATTAGCGACCTAACGGGAGAGGACTCAGCCATTGCTGCGCAAGGCCGCGCTTATAAATACGTAGGTGCCGGAAGGTTCATCGCTTGGGATGAGTCCTCTGCTTTGGCCCGCGCCGTGCGTACGAAAAGTACGCGCGAGGTGAGATGTGAGGTGCTGGCGTGGCCGGGCCGACTCCTGTTTGGTGGGGGTCGCCCGCTGTACGACCAGCACCCGTAATGCGCCAGGCGTCGCCACCGACCCCCGCATTCAGCCCATTCTTGACGAGCAGCGTACACTACGACGTGGTGCGATTGCGTACGACATTAACACATGCTTGTGCGACGTCCAGCTTCAGAACCACTTGTCGTCCGTGTCGTACTGATGTGCTGCGACACGTGGTCGTAGTGTTTTGAAGCGAGCGCGAGGATCTGAGCTGCGATTGCGCCAAACAAATGGTCGCACGTGGAATGGGAAGCACCGTACGCTCAGCAGCACATCCGCCGTGTTCGCGCTGCTGCAGCGACGCGTGTCGTTCCGATGTGTACGAGGTTGCTGGCAGGTCAGTCAGACCCAAGTCGAGATGTCCGGCCCAAGTCTTGGGATGAATGCGCTGTACGACCACCACATAGTGGCTTCACGACAGGCAATCGCCCATCCACTGCAGCACATTTCCAAATAACGTTCTAGCCAAATCCAACAACGTTATTTGTGTTGAGCAACGCTACGCTATCTCCTTGGCTATGCCAACCGAAGTACAAGGGTACCATATTAAACAGCAATAAACTGTTCTAGCATGCTAACGCTTCAAGCTGGCATGCTCACCACTACTCTTAGACCACATTGCCATTGAGAACAAAACTGGGCAACGAAAGGTGACACACTTAGCCTTTTTGTAAAACAAGGAGTGCTTCAATCCCTCTGACTGGGAAACATATGCATACAGAAATGCAAAACGCAAAGCAGACATCATCACTCCTCATTGTTTAGGAGTGAAAAACAAGAAGAAGCTGCAACCGATCCCCTGGTTGCATCAACAGTTCTGGCCCAAAAAGCTAGGCTGCGTGCCAGGTCGGATGACCATATGTGGCCGGGACAAGGCTTGTGATTCCACTTGAGAGGCAAGCGGGGAATAGAAGTACGACTGGCCGGCATGCATGGGCACACCAGAGTGGGTGGCAGGCCCACCCGCCACTGCAGTGCCCCATGGGGACGCATGCCACGCCATCCATGGGTGCAGCATGTGGGGTGCGGGGGTCAGAGGCGATGCTGGATGCGGACCAAAGGGAGTGGCAGCAACGGCGGCTCCCAGCTGCAGGTATGGACTGCCTGACAGCTGCTGCCCTCGCACTGCTGCGTGCTGCAGAGGAGTCGGGGATGGATGCGGTGGCGCTGTGGCGGGAGCAGATGGATGGGGTCTAGGGGCTGCATGCCCGGGCATGGCAGCACGTGCTGCTGCACCAGTGTTGCGCACTGAGCCAACGGTGCCCACAGCGGCGGCAGAGGCGGTGGAGGAGGCGGAGGAGGTGGACGTGGCAGCGGCAGTGGCAGGATGGGGGGCATGCAGGTGGGGCGGGATGGTGAGGCTGGAGGCAGATGGGTAGGTGTGGAGGGGGCCGTGCGGCATGGGGGAGATGGCGGATAGGGGGCGATGGTGTGGGGCGCCACACACAGAGGGTGTTGGGGTTGCGGCCACCACAGGCGGTGCAGCAGAGGCGGGCGGGCGGGAGGGGCCAAAGAGGAGGGGCGAGCGGAAGAGCAGGTTGGCGATGGCACGGTCGATGTGGTTTGTGCCACTCTCTGATGCCGGTGCTGGTGCCGTGCCGCCAGCAAGCACCCCTGCCTCAGCCTGGTTACTCCCTGCTTCACTCGTCATCCCTGACGACCCTGCCGCTGCCCCTGACCCTGTCGCTACCTCCTCCCCACTCTCGCGCTCGCCGCTGCGCACCTGCCTCTCCCCCCCTGCTGCTCCGCTGCTGCTGCTTCCACCACTGCCGCTGGGAGGCACATTTCGAGTGCTGGGAGGCGCGCTCCTGCCCTTGGCGCTGTGGGCGAGGCGCAGGAGAGCGGCGTGGATGAAGCAGCGGTTGCTGGGGGTGAGCTGCGAGCAGCAAAGGGGGGGGAGACAGGGGCAGCAGTTGGGCAAGGAGGAAGAGAAGCAGGTATAGCAGACAAAGCGGAGCAGGGGAGTGAGAATAGGAGGGAGGGGAGGAGGGATGGGAATGCATGCATTGGAAGCGAGAGCAGAACGCACGGAAGGACAACCACGTGGACCATGACCTCTTACCTTAGCCACCGTGCTTTCAAGCTGGTGCAGAATGCTGGCCTCCATGCCCTCAGTGCCGTCAGTGCCCTCAGTGCCCTCAGTGCCCTCAGTGCCCTCAGTGCCCTCAGTGCCCTCAGTGCCCTCAGTGCCCTCAGTGCCCTCCGTGCCCTCAGTGCCCTCAGTGCCCTCAGTGCCCTCCACGCCCTCCATGCGCTCCTCTGCTCCCCCTTCCTCCGCCACCCCATGCGCTGTGCGGCAGGCAGCACCATCCGCTGAAGCACACCCGCCTTCTCCCCCCGCCACCCCCTCCTCCTGCTCATGGCTGTGTCCACCCATGGCCACCTCCACGCTGAGCGCCGCCTCGCTCCCTTCACTCACACCGCTTGACTCGCTCTCCTCTCCTGCATCGGCTGCTGCTCCCTGCTCTCTCACCTCGCTCCCACTCCTGCCGTGCCGCATCCCACCAGCATCATCATCATCAGCAGCAGTGGCAGCAGCAGCAGCATCACCCACAGCCTCGCCAGCACCACCAGATGCCTGCAAGCCTGGGCTCTGTGGCGCTTCCCTTCCACCCGGGCTCTCTGGCGCCCCCCCCACCACTCTGCCCACCGATGCTGCTGCCCCCACTGCTGCTGCCTCTGCCGCCATGCACCGAACTCCATCCCTGCAACCCACCTCATCACCCACACACACCTCCGCTGCTGTGGCACCGCTCTTGTCTCGCCCGGCTGCTGCTGTTGTCGCTGCTGCTGCCGCGGTGTCGGCGACTCCTACTGTACAAGACAAGGCCCTCCGCCCATCCCCTTCCTGGTCTAAGTCCTCTGATGCATCGTGTGCCCGTGCGTTCTTCTGCCCCTCCCCACCATTCTTATGCCCCTCACCAACATTCATCTGCCCCTCACCACCATTCATCTGCCCCTCACCAACATTCATCTGCCCCTCACCACCATTCATCTGCCCCTCACCAACATTCATCTGCCCCTCACCACCATTCATCTGCCCCTCACCACCATTCATCTGCTCCCATTGCCCTTCCTGCCTCTCCACCTTCTGCACATTTGATAACAGCTGTTCCGCCTGCTGCTGCTGCTGCTGCTGCTCTTGCTGCTGTTGCTGTTGCTGCTGCTGCTTCTCCTGCTTTTCTAGTTGTTGCTGCCACTGCTGTTGTTCCTGCGGCTGTTCCTGTGGCTGTTGCTGTTGCTGCTGCTGCTGCTGCAGTTGCAGCATGTACCGTTGCTGCTGTCGGACCCATAGCTGCCGGACATCCCACTTCATCCGCTCTCCACCCCTTCTGTCCGCCTGTCCTGCCCCGCCCTTCCCCTCTCTTTCCCCCTCACTGCCCCTCTCCTGCAGCCCCCCTCCCCCTTTTCCCCCGCCCCCCCCGCTCTCACTGTGCTCCACAGGGCTGGGCGGGGGCAGGTGGGGAAGCACCCACACTCCGGGCATGGGGGGCTTGAGGGGGGATGGGGAGGCTGGGGGGAGAAGGGAAGAGGATGAGGGGGAGGGTGAGGAGGGAGCGGTGGAGCGAGTGGGTGTGAGGGGCAGGGACGGGGGTGTGCGTGGGGGTGGAGCAGCGGCAGCATGCAGGGGTGCACGGAGCTGGGCTTGATCTCTCACTGCTGGCCCCGCACTCGCCAGAGCGGTGGTCTGGCGAGGGAGTGCTATATGGGAGCGAGAGGCCGCGGCAGGGGAGTGACGCAGGGAAGGAGAGGCACCCGGCAAGGATGAGGACGAGGCGTGTGGGGCGGAGCAGCGGGAGTCGCCGCACCCAGCGGCTGCCTGCTGTGAGCGGGCTGGGGCCTGTGGACGTGGCGCTGGCGAGGCACAGGCGGGGAGAGCGGAAGAGGCGGGCAGCGACTCGGGGATGGCCTTAGTCTCTGCACCCGCGCTCTCTGTGACTCGCTGCGCTTGCTGCAGCTGGTGAGCGTGGTGCTGGTGCGTGAGCGCCCTGTGCTGCTGGTGCACTCGGAACATCTCCTGCCCCAGCACCTGCTGCTCCTTCTGCTGCGCCGCCGCTGCCCTCGCCTGCCTCACCGCCGCCATGTGTGCTGCCCCGCCTGCCCCTGCCGCCCCCGCCCCCGCCTCACTCACGCCGCTGCCAACAGCTTCGGAAGAGGCAGCGGCAGCAGCAGTAGCAGTGCGGGGAGCACAGGTGGGATGCAAAGGCGTGGCGTGCATTGGCGGCCGCTGGGGGGGAGGCGGCTGGCAGGGGTTGGGGGGCGGCACGAGGCGGGACGGGAAGGCGGGCAGCAGCGGCTGGGAGGTGAGCGGGTAGTTGGGGAAGTGGGGCAGGCGGGGCAGTTGCGCGGGGGGGAAGTAGCGGAAGATTTGGGTGGGCGCAGGGCAAGGGGGGTAGGAGAGGGCGGTGGCGAGGGCGGTGGGGGGCGGGCGAGGGTAAAGGTAAGGGACGGGCGCGGGAGAGGGAGAGGGAGAGGCGGAGGCAAGACGAGCAGCAAGGGGCTGGTTTGAGGCGTGGGGCAGCGGCGGTGCAGCGGACATGTGCGCGATGTGGGGGGGGTGAGAGGCGAAGAAGGGCGGGCAGTGGGCGGGGAAGTGGTGGGGCAGCGAGGGGAAGGGGACGGCGTGCTGGCCCAAGGGGAGCTTCCTTGACGCCGCGGGGCGCTGCTCGCCCTCTCTCTTCCGCCGCGACGCTGCCCTGCGCCTTGCCTGGGGTGGGGAGCAAGGTAGCGAGGAAGGTCGTGTGTGAGAGAGTGAGTGAGAGAGCGAGTGAGGGAGCGAGCGAGTGGGAGTAAGTGGGTGAGTAAGTGAGCGCGTGAGTCCGCAAGTGAGTGAGTGAGAGAGGGGAGGTGATCTACCTGCGAAAGGCAGCGCGAGTTGCCACCGAAATTTGAGCTCCCACGTGCAGCAGCCTCAGCTGCCGCCCCTGCGCTGACATCGGGCTCAGCTGCCGGCCCTGCGCTGGCAGTGGCAGCAGGTGCGGGTGCAGGCGTTGACGCACATGGTGCGCAGGGGCCACGCTCACATGACGGCGTGGCCTCCCCTGGTGCGACGCGCTGGCAGCAGCTGATCGCCTGGAAGCACAGCATCCAGGGCAATGGAGGAACACAAGTGAGTGCACGCACCAACCAGAAGAGTGCTCTCAGCGCAGCAACAGAAATCCTCTTGCGTGTGTTGTGGTGTGTGCTGTGCTAGCTTGCCAGCACGGGGCACGCGCCTGTGTCTCGGAGCACGCACCTGTGCCTCGGCGCCACCACTGCTTGCCACCCCTGCCGTCGCCCCTCCTCCCTCGCTGCCAGCATCTCGCCCAACAGCGCCATCCGCCGTCTTCTCTCCATCTCCCTCCGCGCGTTCCCCCCATCCCACCTCGTCCTCCCCCTCCCCCCCCTCCGCCTCCAGTTCCTCCGCGGCCCACACCTCCGCCCCCCGACGCTCCTCGCTCACAGCCTCGTCGGCGGCGGCGGCAGCGGCAGCGGAAAAGGCGGCGTCGGCGGCATCGAGGAGGGCGGGCGCGGGCGGCAGGGGCACGGAGGGGTCGGAGGCGGGCCCCCACCACGAGTGCAGGTCGGCGTGGGTGAGGTGGGGGAACGCGTCCGCGGACGGCACGGCGAGAGGGTCGGGGGGGTAGGCGGACCTGCACGCAGCGCGCGGCAGACGGGAATGTGAGGTCAGATGGGGCGTGGGGACAAACGAGTGGAGGTTCCGGCAAGCAATGCTGGAATCGAGAGCGCAATGCGTCAGTGCCACGTGCGCGTTGACACACCTTATCAGCTCGTCCACGTGGCTCGCCTGCCCGGGCCCCCATGGCTGACTTGACATGCCGTCCGCCAGGGCGTCCGCGCAATCCCCGCCTTGCGTGCTCGGGGAGCTCGGCAGCCTCGCGAGAGGGAAGGCACAGTTGGCACGGTCGTCCCCCCGTGCATGAGGACTATCCATGGTCGACATGTCGATACCATCCCCGCCGTCCCCGCCCTCAATCTCCTCCTGCGCACTCCACCCGTTCACGCCGCGCCCGCTCCCTTGGGCTCCGTCGCCAGCTGCGAGCTCGCGTGCCTCTCGCTGACCCTCACCGGCCCTATCGCCCCGCGAGTCCACCGCATGCTCTCCTAAAGTCGCCTGCCCTCCCCGGCCGTCAACAGCGCGGCCAATCGACTGGGCCTCGCAAGCCCCGTCAATTCTGATGGCCTCGTCCTGCCGCGACTTGACTTGCCGCGAAGCATCGCAGCTCGCGTCAATCGCACCCAGCGCGTCCGTGTCCGCGTCCGGCGCGACGAGGCTTTGGTCGTACTGGAAGTGGTCCCACACGTGGTCGTCGAACTGCGGGCATGCGGGTGAGAGAGCAGAAGTGCACATGCCAGTCAGCCACCACCGTTAAGCCACTCGAGAGAGAGCTTAGAAACTGCCAAAAGTGCGAGGTAAGAGAGAATACTAAGTTGAAACACGTTCTGAGAAAGCTGATGTCTTGGGTAAAGTAAAAAAAACCTCATGCTCATATAATTTGTTCCGCACAAACTCATGCTCTTGAAAACCTCTAGATTCGAGTCGCTGTAGACCTAAGCAACAACGAACGAGAGTGGATACTAGGGTATAGGTGCTGTGAGGGAAGTTCACCATAGCCCAGCTGTCGACAGCGGAATCTCCATCCTCCATTTCCCATGCCGATGCCGACATCACAGTCGAGCCTAGATTCGAGTCTCCTACGTTAGTGATATGCAAACTAAACTTAGGATTTTGATAAGCCTAGACACCAGCATGCTGCCTTACAAGACCGTACTACAGCAGGCTTCTGTGTCAGGAAGGAAGTCTATGCTATGGTTGCTGGATTGATCAATCTGGATTCTAGAGGCCAGGTGTGCTGCTGCAGCCAGAGATGCAATCTCTTCCCCTCCGCTCCCCTCCCTCGCCTGCTAGGCTGGAGAAAAGCCCTCTGACGACAACAGACAAGAAAAGCTTCACGGGCTGCCCGAGCCAAACCTCATTCACGGGCGATGGCAGTACAGCACAGACAGGCGAAGCATCTGGCCAGGATGAGCGATACTTGGGGCCACACGAACAGAATGCGCGACTCTCCGCTCAGACGACGTCGCCAAGATTTTTGCGACGTGCTGCTGACATCCGCTATGCCACCCTTTACCCGAAAAAAAATCTTCTGGCGGTGGTCCAGAGCCACAGGAAGCCCTCTTTCCAAATCAAAGGTGCTCCCTCCGTCGCTCGCTTCGGTCAGACAAGCGAGGATCTCCCGCCAGCCGACCACCGCCACACGATATTCCCAAGGTGCTTTACCAAAAAATCTCTTTCGTGGTCGTGATTTTTGAGCCTGCTTTGGACGGCCATGGGCGAATTTGTTATTCGTAGCTGTCCACACCACAACACACTGTACCAGCGTTACCAACCAAGGCACACCAAATTGGACTCGTTACCAAAGAATCACTATTGGTCAATGAAACACTACACCATCTTGCTTGCAGCATTCAACATGAACATGACTAGGGAAACTCAAGAAAATGCGTGCCTCATTGTGCCTTTGCATTGGAATAACCTGGCAAATCCGGTTGATGAGATCCACTTTGCTGTTGGCCATGAATCAGTGCATCTTCCTTGGGCAATGCGGTGTCATATTGGTCGAACTGGTCTGTCCATGACTCCCCCTCCCCCTCTACCTCCTCCTCGTCACTCTCAGTGCCCTCCATGCCCTCCACGCCCTCCACGCCCAGGTCACTGCCCGCCTCGCTCTGCATGGCGGCCACCATCTCGTGGGACACCTGCATCACCCGCGGCCCTTCCCAGGGGGCGGGCTCGCCCTCGCCCCACCCGCGGTACAGCACCACCTTGGACGGCTCGCGCGCCACAAACACGCCCCCCGTTGCCTCCTGCCCATGGCGCACGCAACAAGACAGTGAGTGCCCTAGACGTTGACATCCAATCCAAGGGAGTGGCAGCGCACACATGCGAACCAACAGCAGTACATCAGCCCGCGCCCGCCCGGGTCTCACCTCGAGCTGCTTGACAATCTCGTCCACTGGCGTGCCCGCTGCCCTGCCTCTGACGCCCACCTTGACCAGCGCATGGCGCGTGAAGTGCAGGCGGATGGCCCGCGCCAACCCCTCCACCACGTTGCTGCGCCCTGTGGCGTGTGCAGGACAACCGACACGAGGCATCAGATGTGCAACGTGCAGGCAGATGCTACACATGGATACACATTACCACACAAGGAGAAGTAAGGACGAGAGTGGAGACAGGGAGGATGAGGGCATGCGAAGAGTGAATAAATGATCGAGAGTGAGAGAAGGGGGGAGGCGGGTGGGGAAATAGGGGGGGGGGTGGTGGGGATGAGCAAGAGGGGGATGGCACGGGTGGAGAGCACTGACCAACTTGGAAGGCGGCAGTCTTGTCGAGGGTGAGAGCCCTTCGCCTCAGCTCCAGGCGCTGGGAGCGCGAGAGAGGAGGCGCCTTGAAGAGAGGGCCCACTAGCGCCCGCTCCCTCACCTCCTCCCTCCCCACCCGCTGCCTCTCTCGCCCCTGCTCCCTCTCCCTCTGCTGCCTCTGCCTCTCCTCCTCCTCCTCCTCCTGCTGCAGCACGGGCTGCACGCTGGCAGCAATGAGTGCATCAATCTCTGCTGCCTCTGCTTCTGTCGGGTCCGCGGGGGAGAGAGACGGCAGCGCATCCATGGGTGCCTCCCTCATCTCGTCCCATGTGCCGCTCTCCACGCTGCCGCTGCCGCTGCCGCCGCCGCCGCTGCTGCTGCTGCTGCTGCTGCTGCCAGCGGTGTTGGTGGAGTGGAGAGATGGAGACGAGGGGGGGAGGAAGGCGCGGGAGAGAGGCGCTATTTCGCCAGGCTTCACCTGCGCTCCTCTCTCTGCCTCCGTCTGCCCTCACTCACACACATCCGCACACACACATCCACACACACATCCGCACACACACATCCGCACACACATCCGCACACACACATCCACACACACACATCCACACACACACATCCGCACACACATCCGCACACACACATCCGCACACACACATCCGCACACACACATCAGCCCCGCAGGGGCCCCGCCACCCCATGCACGCACACGCACACACACATCAAGATAGCATGTACAATTAAGCCTAACACCAGGGTCTAGTATTTCCTGCATGTTCCGCACGTGTGGAGTGTGTTATCGCTGGATTGGCCAGCGAGATGGAAATTTCGCAGGTGGTGTGAAGAGGTTTGCGAAAGGGGAAACGGGTTTGTACATTTTCCACAAGTGCCAGCTTCGGAACCGTGGTTTTAGACCAAGCCAAATGAGCAGGCGGAGCAGAGTGCGACAGCGAGCAGTCAAGTGAAGGCAAGGCGGCACGCACCAGTCCATCTGAGAGGCGCACGATGGCGGCATCGAGGTCCCTCATGTGTGCCTCCAGCGACTGCAGGGGAGAGGAACGAGTGCCATGGCGTCAAACAAAATGGCTTGGCATAGAATGAAGTGGTCATAAAATGAAGGCATGAGAGTAAGTTAAGAAAGCGCTGTCACAAGAGCACGAAAAGGCCGAATGCGCAAATATGCAAGGAAGCCAACCCGCAATCCCGTTTACCATGACCCACCGGGCCACCGCCCTCCTGCCCCCTTGGCTCACCGCGCGCCTCTGCTCCTCGGTGGCGCGTTTGAGCGCCTGGCGCTTGGTGAGCAGCCCCTTGGGGCGCAGCACGGACGGGCGCGAGTAGTTCTTGCCGCGGTACACAATGATGGCGTGGTGCTTCTTCACCGGCACCACCGCTACCAGCACACCCCCACTCTCCACGGCCAGCAGCGCCGCCACGTCGTCCACCACGCGGCGGTCGCGCTCCTTGCAGACGATCTTGACGAGCTCGCGGTGCTTCCAGTGCAGATGCATGTTCTCCACCAGCCCCGCAAACACCCCGCGCTTGCCTGCACATGCAAGGGGGGGAAGGGGGGGGGGTTGGTGGGGGGGAACGGGGGAAGGTGTAAGCATGGGTGCAGTGGAAAGGAAGAGGAGAATGAAGAGAAAGCCACGTGTCACCCTCCCTCAACATGTCAGCCCGTGAGGCAGGGAGGGGAAGGCAGCGCGGTTGTGGGCACGGGAGAGGCTGACCCATTTCGAGGTACGCCCTCATCTTCTGGCCCAGCTTGGTGAACATGTGGCGCTCCTCCTCCGTGATCGTCTCGCTGTCCGCCGGCACCTCCACCGCCCGCAGCACCGCCTGCAGCTTCACCAGCTCCTCCTCCGCCCGCCCCTTCTTGCGCAGCGCCTGCTCACCGGGGGGGGGGGGGAAGAAGAAACAGGGGGTGGGCACAAGGGGAGAGATGCATGAATGGACAGGGAAGATACGGGGCAAAGTTGGCGCGTCCTCCCCGTTCCTGTAGAGCACAATGCAGCAGCGGCGCTTAGCAGCTGGGGCAACAGCAGGCAGTGAACGCCAGCTAAGGGCATCAGATTAAGGAAAGAACTGCCATCATCCCACCTGAGCCAGCTTCTGCTCTATCTGCCATCCCACCTGAGCCAGCTTCTGCTCTATCTGCCATCCCACCTAAACCAGCTTCTGCTCTATCTGCCATCCCACCTGAGCCAGCTTCTGCTCTATATGCCATCCCACCTGAGCCAGCTTCTGCTCTATCTGCCATCCCACCTGAGCCAGCTTCTGCTCTATCTGCCATCCCACCTGAGCCAGCTTCTGCTCTATATGCCATCCCACCTGAGCCAGCTTCTGCTCTATCTGCCATCCCACCTGAGCCAGCTTCCGCTCTATCTGCCATCCCACCTGAGCCAGCTTCCGCTCTATCTGCCATCCCACCTGAGCCAGCTTCCGCTCTATCTGCCATCCCACCTGATCCAGCTTCTGCTCTATCTGCCATCCCACCTGAGCCAGCTTCTGCTCTATCTGCCATCCCACCTGAGCCAGCTTCTGCTCTATCTGCCATCCCACCTGAGCCAGCTTCTGCTCTATATGCCATCCCACCTGAGCCAGCTTCTGCTCTATCTGCCATCCCACCTGAGCCAGCTTCCGCTCTATCTGCCATCCCACCTGAGCCAGCTTCCGCTCTATCTGCCATCCCACCTGAGCCAGCTTCCGCTCTATCTGCCATCCCACCTGATCCAGCTTCTGCTCTATCTGCCATCCCACCTGAGCCAGCTTCTGCTCTATCTGCCATCCCACCTGAGCCAGCTTCTGCTCTATCTGCCATCCCACCTGAGCCAGCTTCTGCTCTATCTGCCATCCCACCTGAGCCAGCTTCTGCTCCATCTGCCATCCCACCTGAGCCAGCTTCTGCTCTATCTGCCATCCCACCTGAGCCAGCTTCTGCTCTATCTGCCATCCCACCTGAGCCAGCTTCTGCTCTATCTGGCGTGCGAGGGCCAGCCGCCTGGACGCCTCTATGGCCTCCCTGCGGCGCTGTCTCTCCTCCTCCACCGCATGCGCCTCAACCTCCCCTCCCTCCGCGCTCTGCCTGCTCTCTGCCTCTCCCCCGCCCTCCGATGTGCGCCCTGCGCTCTCAGCCGAGGCTGCAGGGCAATGGGAGAACAAGAGAGAGAAAAACACAAGGCGGGACGGAATGGAGCATGCAGGTGTAGGTGGTGCGGTGCCTACGTCAATGCCATGCCATGGCAGAAGACAAGAGAATATTCACGCAGCAATCTCGCACAAGCATGCCTGACCAGCACCCAGCCCGCCTCCCACCGTACCTCCCCATGCGCTCCCCTCCTTGTGCCCCGGGCCCGAGAGCGGCGGCAGCAGCAGCGAGGGCAGCGCCAACAGCCGCTCCCTCTCCTCCTCGTCCGCGCTCTGCCGCGCCTGCTGCTGCCGCGACGCCAGCGAGGCGGCGAGGGCGGCGGGCAGGAAGTCCTTGCCGCGGTACAGCGTGATGAAGAACTTGTCGCGTGACAGCAGCACCCCGCCCGTCAGCCGCTGGGCGGGGGGGGGGAGCGGGGGTGTTTGAGGGTGGAGGGGAGGGGAGGACGAGAGGCAGCGGGGAGGTCACAGGAAGAAGGTCGCATGTGGGTTGCGGTGGGACGATACAGGCGGTGGGGCGATACAGGCGGTACAGACGATACAGACGGTGCCCTGTGCTCATCTTGAGCTCCTCCGCCCTGCGTGCGCTCACCTTGAGCTCCTCCGCCATGCGCTCGTTGCTGGTGTTCTGCACGCCGCGCTTCACGCCTATCTTGGCCACCTCGCTGCGTTCCCACAGCGCCACCACCGCCCGCGCCAGCCCCTCCAGGCCGCGGTTGCGCCCTGCACGCCCACAGGCAACACAGGCAGGGCGGGGGGATGGGAAGGACGGGTTGAGCGTGGAACGGCGGCGAGAAGGGGACGTACCAAACTGACATTCAATGAGACGGGTATCACCTAGCATGAAGTGGGGCGGGTATCACCTAGCATGAAGTGGGGCGGGTATCACCTAGCATGAAGTGGGGCGGGTATCACCTAGCATGAAGTGGGGCGGGTATCACCTAGCATGAAGTGGGGCGGGTATCACCTAGCATGAAGTGGGGCGGGTATCACCTAGCATGAAGTGGGGCGGGTATCACCTAGCATGAAGTGGGGCGGCAGCTTCCTGGCAATGTGGCGCAGGCGGGTCATGTCCTCGTTGCTCAGCTTGCTGCTCACGCCATACGGCACCAGCCTGAACGGCGCTCGGTACCCCACCGCTGCCCGCTCGCCCAGCAGCAGGTCCGCATCCACGGGGGCGTGGCCCGGGCGGTCCCACGCCTGCACCTTGGGGCCCAGCCCTGCCGTCACGTCCTCCTCTGCTGCTCCCACCGCGCCACGCACTTGGCGCCCCTCGCTGCTGCCAGGCGCTGCCTCACGTGCTGCCACTGCTCCGTCACTCTCTCCTCCATCTCCCTCCACCCCTCCCTCCACCCCTCCCTCCACCCCTCCCTCCACCCCTCCCTCTGCCCATCCCTCTCCCTCTAACTCTCCCCCTCCCGCTACTTCTCCCTCTCCCCCTACACCCCGTTGGCTCGTGAGCAATCCCCTTGCCTCCTCCCTCACACCTCCACTCTCCAACTCCTCTTCCTCCCCCAAACCCATGTCCGCTGCCTGCCCCTCTCCCTGCCCCTTTCCCCGCCCCTCTCCCTGCCCTCCCTCGCCCCACCGCGCGCCACGGTACACTGCGAGCGCTGCCCCTGCCCGCCACACCACCATGCCGCCCGTCAGACGCTGGGGGGAAGACAGGGGCACAGGGGGGGGACGGAGAGCACAGGCCACATACGGGGGGCCGGAGAGGAAGGGGGCAGGAGAGGAAGGGGGCAGGAGAGGAAGGGGACAGCGGAGGGGAGTGCTGGGGAGACGTGGGACGAGGCGATGCAGCCAGTTGCAGTGCTTGGCGCCCGCTTCCTCAACACCCCACGTACCTCCATCTCCTCATGCGTGTGCCCCACGTACCTCCATCTCCTCATGCGTGTGCCCCACGTACCTCCATCTCCTCATGCGTGTGCCCCACGTACCTCCATCTCCTCATGCGTGTGCCCCACGTACCTCCATCTCCTCATGCGTGTGCCCCACGTACCTCCATCTCCTCATGCGTGTGCCGCATGTTGAAGGCGGGTGCCCCCTCGCACCGCACCTTCACCACCTCGTGCCCGGCGCGCCACCTCGCCCGCACCGCCGCCACGATGCCGTCCGTCACGCCCTGCCGCCCCACCTTCACTGGCTGCCGCAGCACCATCACTGCCGCCCGCAGCCGCCTCAGCTCACTGGGCGGCAGACTCACCTCCGCCAGCCACGGCTGCCGCACCCGCCTCTCCCGCACACCCATCTGCTCCCCTTGCGCCCCTCCCCCTGTCCCCCCCTCCCTCCCCCTCCCCAGCCACGGGAACTCCCCCCCCTGCTGCTCCCCCCCTGCCACGCCCCGCCACCCGTCCTGTGCAGCCACATACGCGCGCTTCCCCCTGCCTGCGCCCTCATCCCGCCCCTCCCGCCCCCTCCCCCCTCCGCCTTGCCCCCATCGCTCGCCCCCTTCAGAGCCCTCCTCCCATGGGAAGCGCGTGCCCCCATCTCCCATTGCTGGCGAATTGTAGCGCTCCACGTCATCAGCTGACCTGGCGCCGTCCCCATCCCACCGAGACGGGCGCGCGACTCCATCCCACGCAGGTGCGCCTCCCTTCCCTCCCTGCCCTCCCTCCCTCCATCGCCCCCCTCCGCTCGCCCTCCACCTATCCGCCCCTGGCCTCTCGCCTTCTCCCCTCAAACCAGACTCGCTCCCGCTCCTCTCGCTTCCCACCCCCCTATCAGCCCTTCCGCTCCTCGAGTCCCGCCACGCGTTCCCCCGCCCGCCGGCCCGCCCACCTGCCCTCATCCGCTCTGCCTGCGCCCCAAACTCACCGCTTGCCACGCCAACGCCCCCACTCGTTGCGTCCACTCCCCCTTCACCACCCGCCGCCCAGCGCTCCCTGCTCTCCCCGCGTGGCCCTCGCCACCCTCCGCGCACCTGCCCTCCCCCCACTCCACTACTGCCCCGCTCCCTGAAATCCACGCTGCTGCCCGCTTCCTGCCTTCCGCCTGCCCCCCACCTTCCCCCTGCCTGCCCCGTCGGCCCGCCCTGCGAGGCGGACGCCGCAGCCGCGGAGGTGGAAAGCCTCGGCGGGCTCCGCGCGCCATGGGAGGCGGCGGCCGCGGGGCGAAGCTCTAGCCCCAGCCCCGCTGGCCAGCGCGCCACTGCTAAACCCCGTCCCGCGAACAACGAGAGTCGAAACCCCAAGGCTTGCATGGCGGATCGGCTTGCTAGGGTTTGCGGCAGGACCGGAAGGGTCGCCAGTGGGGTGGCGTAGAGAGCGAGCCGGTTGCCAGAGGCCCCTCGCACGGTGGCGTGCGACGACGGCAGCGCCGCAGCACGGCACGCGATAAGCGGCGACGACGATGCTGCGAGAACCCCTTGAAGGGCGACGGCGTTGAGCATGGCGGCGGATGGCGGAGCCGCGCACGCTGGCAGCAGCTGAGAGGACAGCGCACGCGACGCGCCGGCAGCGCGCTGTACCGCGCGTGGCGGAACTCGAGCACTCGCTTGGAGTGGATCCGCCGGTAGCGCGGAGCGGGGGGCGCGAATGGCTGACGGAAGCCGCCGCAAGCCAAGACGACAGGCGGCGGCTGGGCGAAGCGACAGGATGAATGGAGGGTGGTGCGTCGCTCCACTGGTGTGGTGAGTGCCCTAGACAAACACCGCTTGGGTGTCATAAGGGCGCGCAGCCTAAGGTTTCGAACAGAAGTTCGGACGAAATTCACCGCACTATACCGCGCAGTTGTCTAGCCAATTAAACTCAACCGTTTTGTAACTCACTCTACCCCCCACTTCCGTTCGAACACCCCTGCGTTCGAAACCTCAGGATACAAGCCCTAAGGGCGGGTCCAAATAGTTCAATTGGGGGTTTTGGACGCGTTTTTTCGAACTCGGTTACGACAACTGAAAACGATCCCAAAATCGTTTTCCCCCAAACAGCGTCTCATATTGCGAATGAAATAGAAGCTGGCGCCAACAGGGTGCGTCCGGAAAAACAGTTTGCGTCAGACGCCCCAAATCGCAGTTACCAAATGTCGCAGCTCGCGAAATCGATGTTTCGTGCTGGGTTAATTGACAGGTGCGATTTGGCGTTGCGCCACGCGAGATGTTCGCGAGGTCGCCTTGTATCTCGCCAAACCCGGCTTGGCGAAAACCCAAAGCCCCACACGTGTCCACCGATACCAAAACGTATACCTAACGTCACCGAATCGTAAACAAATATTGACTGGGGTTCATGTGCACTCACATGCGTCGAGCGTCCCGAGTTGCGTCAATTTCGTGCACGTGTCCTCGCGATATCCAAACGAGGCTAGAATAGGGTTACTTTTCACGAAATGAATGGAGTGTCACTATTTGGACACGCCCTAAGCTGCGGGTACTCTTTGGGCATTGTTATGAATTAATCGGAGTAATAACAGGTAGTGTAATAAAGGAGTCGTGATTCAAGAGTGGCGATACAAATGAAGGCCTAGGCATTTATAGGCACGAACAGAGCTAGCCGAGAACCATGCGAACAGGTTGGGCTGATTCGGTTGGCGAAAGCCACGGAAGCGCTGCGCGTCGAGGTTTGGGCTCGCGAAGTGGTTCTGGACCAAAGAAAGTGGCCGAGGCTGAACTTCCAAGAGTCGAGGGCGTACGCGGTGTAGTCGAGCCCAGTAAGGAAAAGGAGTTTCCTTACACCACCCCCCCTTCCGGGATGAGACTACCCACATCCGGGACATGTCGTCGGTGTAAATAGTCCCGGACGACTTTGTGTTCGTTGAGCATAGCTGCGGGGACCCAAAGATCGTCGTCAGTCGTGCAATCGACCCATCGTACAAGGAAATCGACGGCAGCTATATCTCGATGGCCGCGTACGCGATGAGCGAATCTTCGAGGGCTCGATCGTCAGCTCGGGTACTGGGTTGACAGTGGGATTGATGTGTTGACGGTCGAGATCAGTCGTACTCGGGACGAACGGTCGCAGAAGGCTGACGTGGAATGAATCGTGAATTCGCCAGTCGTTCGGCAGTTGCAATTGGGCGGTGACGGGTGTCACCATGCGAATGATGCAGAAAGGCCCGCAAAATCTTGGTCGTAGTTTATTTGGGAGGGGAACCCCCAAATTTCTGGTGTCGGGCAGGACCAATTGCTTAGGGGCAAGAGTTAAGTCACGGCGTCGTCGGTCAGCTTGCTGCTTAGCCCGTTGGTTGGCTTTGAGGATGGCATCAGCGGCTTTTTGTTGAGACCGTCGGAGATTTTCGACGAACTGTTGCGACCGTGGTGCCGGATTTTCTATCGGTGGCGATAGAGGGGTTGTCGGGTCTATCCCGTAATTAAGGAAGAACGGGGACTGAGTAGTCGTGACTGATGGGGCGTTGTTGTACGCAAACTCGATCAGTGGAAGAGAATCTTCCCACTGGGCCGGGTCTATGCACGTCATGCGAATCAGCTGCTCCGTCGTCTGATTTGTGCGCTCAGTCTGACCGTCCGAGTGCGGGTGGTATGCTGTGGACAGATGCAGACGTGTGCCGTACTGCTGCCAGGTTTTTGTCTAGAAGTTGGACGTGAACTGAGGGTCGCGGTCGCTGATGATTGCCAAAGGGATGCCGTGTAGCCGCACAATGTTCGCGAGGAACAGCTTCGCTGTCTGCTCCGCAGCAATTGTCGTCTTGCAGGCGGCGAAGTGGGCCATCTTGGTCAACCGGTCAACGACGACGAGAATCGCATCGTCACCGCCTGGGCCAGCTGGCAGACCAGTGACGAAATCCATCGTCACCTGTTGCCAGGGTCGGCTGGGTGGCTCGAGCGGCTGCAGTAATCCTGCAGGTCGAAGTTGTGACGACTTCATGCGTTGACACGTGGCACAGGAGGTGACGTACTGCTGCACGTCTGTCGACAAGTCCGGCCAGTAATAATTACGACTCAGTAATTTGGCAGTTTTTTCGATGCCGTAGTGACCTGAGAAATTCGAGTCGTGTGCCTCCTGTATCAGTAGCTTGCGTAGGGTACGGTAGGCGGAAACCCAAATCCGATTGGTACCGGATTTTAGGTAATAAGCCCCTTGCTTGACTGTTAGTTGAGGATGACTGTTAGTGGCGAAGAATGGATCGGTACTGTATATGTGGGTGAATAGGCCAGTTAGCAGCGGACTAGTTTGGGTGATTAGGACGGCGGCGGTATGGACTGAAGGGCAGGTCAGTGCGTCGGCGATGTTGCTGGCCCCCCGTTTGTAGGTGACTCAGTAGTGGAAATTCGACTCGAGATAATCGAGCCAGCGAATCTGTCGGGGATTGAGTGTCGGTTGGGCGCGGATGAACTGTAGTGATTTGTGGTCTGTTTGGACTGTCACGTCAGCGCCCGTCATGTAGCAGCGCCAGACTTTGAAAGCGTGGACGATGGCGAGTAACTCCTTGTCGTGGACAGGATTCAGCTCGGCCGGATTCAGCTTTCGTGACTCGTAGGCGATGGGTTGAAGTCCTTCGCCGAAGTCTTGTAACAGTACCGCGCCAACAGCCAGGTCGCTAGCGTCGGTGATGAGCTCGAACGGACGGTGAGGATCTGCAATGCGAAGAACCAGAGGTGTTGTCAGGAAAACTTTGAGCTTGTCGAACGCAGCTTGCTCCACTCACCCCCACTCATAAAACTTGCCTTTCTTCAGCAGATCCGTGAGAGGGGAAGTTACTCCCGCCATGCTCGGAATAAACCGGCGAACGTAATTAAAAAACCCCAGGAAACTTTGAAGTTCGCGGAGATTAGCCTGCGGCTTCCAGTCTTGAATGGTCGCGATTTTTTTCCGGTCGATATTAACACCGTCGATGGAGATAAGGTGGCCCAAAAACTCCAGTTCTTGTTTCAGGAACTCGCACTTAGAACCTTTGGTGATGAGTCGATGCTCCTGCAATAGAGAGAAGACTGCGTCCAAATCCTTCAAATGCTGCTCCCGGGTAGTACTGAAGATTAGGATATCGTCGAGGTACACGATGACGCATTTATCCAGCACAGGCCGAAAAACTTCGTCCATGGTCAACTGGAACGTCGAAGGCGCGTTTGTTAAGCCAAAAGGCATAACCGTGTACGCATAACTCCCGTAGCGGGTCCGGAAAGCCGTCTAATAGCAGCCAACTTCGTTCCACTATCTCTCCACTCTCACATACTATCTTTCCACTCTCTCCATTATCTCTCCACTATCCCACACTATTTCTCCACTCTTCCATACTATCTATCTACTCTCTCACACTATCTCTCCATGCTCCCACCCTACCTCTCCACTCTCCCACACTATCTCTCCACTATCTCTCCACTCTCACACACTATCTTTCCACTCTCTCCACTATCTCTCCATTGTCCCACACTATTTGTCCACTCTCCCACACTATCTCTCCACTCACCCACACTATCTCTCCACTTTCTCTCCACTCTATCACGCTATCTCTCCACACTCCCACATTATCTCTCCACTCTCCCACACTACCTCTCCACTCTCCCACACTACCTCTCCACTCTCCCACACTATCTTTCCACTCTCTCCAATATCTCTCCACTGTCCCACACTATCTCTCCACTCTCCCACAATATCTCTCCACTCTTCCACACTATCTCTCCACTATCTCTCCACACTGTCACACTGTCTCTCTTCTCTCCCACACTATCTTTCCACTCTCCCACATTACTGTTGGTGCAACCCTATGGCTTGCACTCGGCTTGTCGTCCTTGTTTGTGTGTGTGCATGCATGGCATGGAATGAATTGTGAGTCTATGTCATTGCTATACAGTACTTGTGTGTTTGTTTGAATGGTGTATCACAATGTGGTTTGTGTCGGTCAAGACATTAGCGAGTTTTTACAACTCGCATGTCAAGTCGTCGTTTGTGTGTCGCATGTGTTTTTTCTATTTTGTCGAGTGTGAAGTGTCCATCGTGTCGCAGGTGTGTGCAGCAAGCCCCCATCAACTCAAGAAGAATTTATCTTGCAGATCCAAGAACAAGAGCTCAAGATTTCAAGCCCAAGGGACGCGGATAAATACTAAATAGTGAAAATACTAACGTTACTTCGTGTAGTGTTACATTTCACTTGGTGTAGCCCCTTGGAGGGTTGGTTTCGAGACTCTTCATGGTTGGGGACTCTGTGGTGGTGTACCACCAACCTGGACCTCGGCTCTTGGGGTATGTAGAGGCTGGGAACTATCTCCCTCTCGAACTCTTCTTGCTAAGTTTGTACTTCCAAGACTATAGTGGCTGCTATACCTCCTGCCAGTCAAACCGCCATAGCGTCGTCAAATCTTCACGGAATTTCATGATTCAACTTGCTGCTGATAGACGACAGCCACGCGCTCCAGATCCAACTTACAAATTACAGTTTGGCTCAGCCGGCAGATCGTTATCAATATTTGAAGCCGTCTGACGGAAATCCGACTGTGCTCTCTATCTCTTATTATAGGCACATCTGAGCCTATTGTGACTATAATAAGTGGTATCAGAGCCCCTTGGAGCCGTCTCGACCATGCCTAGACCTCAGGAAGGGGGTGGCAGAGGTGCTGGAGGCAGAGAAGACGCCCAAGCACAAGGTCAATGTTATAATCACAATAGGCTTAGATGTGCCTATAATGAGAGATAGAGAGCACAGTCGGATTTCCGTCAGACGGCTTCAAATATTGATAACGATCTGGTCGCGAAATCAAACGGTAATCTGTAAGTTGGATCTGGAGCGCGTTGTTGTCGTCTATCAGCAGCAAGTTGAATCATGAAATTCCATGAAGATTTGACGACGCTATGGCGGTTTGACTGGCAGGAGGTAAAGCAGCCACTATAGTCTTAGGAGTACAAACTTAGCAAGAAGAGTTCGAGAGGGAGATAGTTCCCAGCCTCTACATACCCCAAGATCCGAGGTCCAGGTTGGTGGTGCACCACCACAGAGTCCCCAACCATGAAGATTCTCGAAACCAACCCTCCAAGGGGCTACACCAAGTGAAATGTAACACTACACGAAGTAACGTTACTATTTTCACTATTTAATATTTATCCGCGTCCCTTGGGCTTGAAATCTTGAGCTCTTGTTCTTGGATCTGCAAGATAAATTCTTCTTGAGTGGATGGGAGCTTGCTGCACACACTTGCAACACGATGGACACTTCACACTCGACAAAATAGAAAAAACACATGCGACACACAAACGACGACTTGACATGCGAGTTGTAAAAACTCGCTAATGTCTTGACCGACACAAACCACATTGTGATACACCATTCAAACAAACACACAAGTACTGTATAGCAATGACATAGACTCACAATTCATTCCATGCCATGCATGCACACACACAAACAAGGACGACAAGCCGAGTGCAAGCCATAGGGTTGCACCAACAAACTCCCCCTCGGATTGTTGGCCTTAGAATCTGCTCCCCTTAGTTCAGAGCCATCCCAGCAAGCTTGCAACACTTCCAATGCTACTGCTCAACCAGCCTCTTGGTCATCATATCAGCAGGCTGCGCCGTCGTCTTCACGTAGTGCAACTCCACTTCACCCGCGGTTACCATGCTCCTCACCCAATGCCACTTCACCTTCATGTGCTTGGTAAGGCCATGAAGAACGGGGTTCTTAGCCAATGCAATAGCACCATGGCTATCACAGTAGAGTGGGGTAGGTCCTTGCTGCTCCTCCCCCAATTCAGCTAGCAAACGCCGCTGCCACACAACCTCTCTTATGGCACGGAAGAGTGCCATGTACTCGGACTCCACCGAGCTCAATGCTTGGTCCACTTGTTTCTTGCTCTCCCAAGCTGTTGGCCCTCCACCAACACAGCAGATGAAGCCTCCCACACTTGTCATGTCCTCTGGTTCTGATGCCCAAGATGCATCAGAGAAGGCGGTGAGAAAGAGCCTCCCGGGTTCGACTCCATCCGCACCCTTTTGACGCCTTTGTGCCGCCGCGGAGTATTGCACTCCAACAGTTGTTGTTTGGCCAAGGTACTTGGCCACCCTCTCTCCAGCTGCTACCTGCTCCTCATTAGGGCATTGGACAACCCTTGCCAGCTGCCCGGTAGCAAAGGCTGCATCCGGCCTTGTGTGAACGGCCGCATACATGAGGCTGCCCACCAAGGAGTGAAAACGCCGCCTCTCCTCTTCACCAACACTTTCCTCCGCTGGTCCTTTCACACACTTGAACCCTGAGGGAAGAGGAGTAGCCACATGACCTTCACTCTTCCCAAAGTTTGCAGCCAAGGCCTCCAAGTACTTCTTTTGATGCACTCGCATCCACCGCTTCTCCACATCTCGCTCAATGTGAAGCCCAAGGTAGTAGTTGACGTCACCAAGGGTCTTGCACTTGAACTTGTCTTGAAGCTTCAGCATCACCTCCTTCACAAGGTCAGAGGAGGGTGAGAATATGAGGATGTCATCCACATAGACCACCATGAAGCTCCTCTGCTCCCCCTCGCCAAGCATGAACAAGGATTGATCGGCCGTTGAGGGAGTGAAGCCGATCGCCTCCAAGACTTCCCGCAGCTTGATGTACCATTGCCTAGGGGCTTGCTTGAGGCCATAGAGTGCTTTCTTCAGCTTCCACACTCTGCCACTCCCATCATTGTACCCCTCTGGCTGCTCCATGTAGGTCTCTTCCTCCAAAACGCCGTTTAGGAAGGCCGTTACAATGTCCATTTGCTTCACCACCCATCCTTTGATGGCCGCCGCGGCGAAGAGAGTTCGAAGGGTTGTACCCTTCACCACAGGAGCATACAATTCATTGTAGTCCTTCTTCTCCTGCTGCTGGTACCCCTTGGCTACAAGTCTGCTCTTGTAGCGCTCAATGTTGCCGTCGGCGTCCGTCTTGCGCTTGAAGAGCCACTTGGAAGAAATCGCCTTACGCCCCGGAGGTAGGTTCACCAAGTCAAACGTGTCGTTCTCGATGATGCTCCCCATTTCTTCATCTGAGGCCTTCTTCCACTCCTTCCCATTGGGGCCCTCCCAAGCCTCCTTGGGATTTGTAGGCTCCCCCGGTATCTCCACCGGAGAGAAGAAGGCAAAAGCACACTCCTCGCTTTCATCTTCCGCATCATCGCCTAGCATGAGAGCCGAACCGGTCAAGGTTGAGTTGGCTGGTCCTCCAAGCCGTTCATAGCTCAACCTATTGGGGGGCTGAGTCCTCCTTCTCCCCCTTCCTTCCTCCTCTGCTGCAGGGACTTGAATGCTCTCATGGCTTTGCGGTAAGTCCGGTCGGTTCCCGCGAGCACTTGTAGCACGAGGCGGAAGTGGCGGTGCACGCTCATTACCTTGCTGCACCTCCTCCTCCTCCTCATCCCCATTCATTTGGGGAGATTGCCTCGTGATCGTGCTGCTGCTACTCAGCTCCAAGGGCAGCTCCACATGCTCCAAGCCGGTCCTCTTCACCTCTCCAAGCCGCACACCAATCTTCGCTTGGTTCTCCACCTTCCACTCCTTGTACGGTAAGTTCTCCATGAACTTGCAATCTCTGCTCACCAGGAACTTCTTGGTAAATGGGTCCCAAAGAAGCCATCCCTAGCTGTTTTGAGCCATGCCCAGGTGCACGGCCCATGTTGCCTTGGCATCAAGCTTGTTGTGCCGAAGTTTCTTAGGCACAAGTGCCATGCACATGCACCCGAACACCCGCAGCATATCCACCTTCGGCTTCCTTCCAATCCACTCCACATAGGGCACCCATTTGTCTTCTCCCATATGAGTCAAGGCTCTATTCTTGGCCACACAAGCATGCCGCACCGCATCCGGCCAAAAATAATTGGGTAGACCGGCTTCAATGAGAAGTCCCCGAGCCGTCTCCGTGAGTGTCCGATTCGCACGCTCGGCGATGCCGTTCATTGCAGGAGAGTAGGGCATGGTAAGAGAGTGCCTTATGCCCTGCTTCTTCAGCCAAGTTGAGAAATCCTTGCTCAGGAACTCTCCCCCACGATCAGTGCGAATCGCCTTCACAAGTCGGTCTTGTTGCCGCTCCACCATCGGCAACCAATCGGTCTTCACCGTTTCAGCTACGTCACTCTTCTTGGGCAGCACATACACCCAAGTCATGCGAGTGTAGACGTCCACAATGGTGAGGAAGTACTCTGCTCCAGCAGCTCCAAGCTTCAAGGGGCCCACCACATCCATCACCACCTCATCAAGTGGTGCCTTCGCCGTTGTCTCCGAGCTATGGAACGGGTAGCGGGTGAACTTGGCTTGCATGCATGTTGGACAGCCAAGCACCTCATTGGGCTCCCCCTTGACACGTATCCCACTGACCATCTCTCACTTAACTATCTGCTGCAAAATGGGCAATGCCACATGCCCCATTCGCCGATGCAAGGTCAGCCAATCATACTCTCCCGTAGCGGAAGTCGGGTTGGAGAAAGCGGCACTCGCAATTGTGCCCCACAAGCTCTCTCCTTTCTCCTTCGCCGCTGCTGCTTTGTTGATCTTAGCCTTCTCCTCCTCATTTCCACCACCTTTGGCTGCTGCACCACTCTCCTTGGGTTCACACGCCTTGCTGGTCTCTCCAAGGTTGCACTCCTTCGAGTCACTCTTGGTGTCACTTTGCTTTCCGTGATCACCGCCACCAACCGCTTCACGCTTGGTGCTGACGCTTGCTGCCACTTGCCTCTCTTTAGGCATGGGGACCACTGGGATTTGCCACATCTCATTGTAGATGTCCCTGTCCTCATGAAGGTCCCAAAGCTTCCGCTCACCAAGCCTTGCGGTATAGGTTTTGGATCCCTTGGAAGATGTGTCCATGCCGGCCTTTTGCAAACGCCGAACGGAAATCAGGTTGGCTGCTAGGTTGGGCACCAAAAGCACGTTCTTGAGGCCCACCATCTTCCCATCAGCACCCTTGAACATGGCCTTGCCCATGCCGTTCACGAGGTGTCATGCTATAGGTGGTGCCGCTATCGATCACCCAAAAGTCCAGAGAGTGAAGGGTGACCTTTCCCACAGTAGCTGGCTCCTCAAAGCCTTCCACACCTCCTGCTGCAGCTGCCGCTTGCGTGGAGACAAAGAAGAATTGGCCCGGATATCGATCTTCACTCGAGTCCTTGTCCTCGAGTCCTTTGTCTCCGCTTGCGTGGAGACAAAGAAGAATTGGCCCGGATATCGATCTTCAGTCGAAAATCACACCGGTCGAAAAGCGAACCGGTCGAAAAGCACACCGGTCGAAAAGGGCACCTGTCGAAAAGGGCACCTGTCAAAAACGGCACCGGTCGAAAAGGGCACCAGTCGAAAAGCGCAACGGTCGAAAAGCGCACCGGACGAAAAGCGCACCGGTCGAAAAGCGCACCGGTCGAAAAGCGCACCGGTCGAAAAGCGCACCGGTCGAAAAGGTCACCGGTCGAAAAGGGCACCGGTCGGAAAAGGCACCGGTCGAAAAGCGCACCGGTCGAAAAGCGCACCGGTCGAAAAGCGCACCGGTCGAAAAGCGCACCGTTCGAAAAGCGCACCGGACGAAAAGGGCACCGGTCGAAAATCACACCAGTCGAAAAGCGCACCAGTCTAAAGGCGCACCGGTGGAAAAGCGCACCCGTCGAAAAGCGCAACGGTCGAAAAGCGCACCGGTCGAAAATCACACCGGTCGAAAGGCGCACCGGTCGAAAGGCGCACCGGTCGAAAGGCGCACCGGTCGAAATGCGCACCGGTCGAAAATCACACCGGTCGAAAATTGCACCAGTCGAAAATCGCACCGGTCGAAAAGGGAACCGGTCGAAAAGCGCACCGGTCGAAAAGCGCACCGGTCGAAAAGCGCACCGGTCGAAAAGCGCACCGGTCGAAAAGGGCACCGGTCGAAATGCGCACCGGTCGAAAATCACACCGGTCGAAAATCACACCGGTCGAAAATTGCACCGGTCGAAAAGGGAACCGGTCGAAAAGGGCACCGGTCGAAAAGCGCACCGGTCGAAAAGCGCACCGGTCGAAAAGGGCACCGGTCCAAAAGCGCACCGGTCCAAAAGCGCACCGGGCGAATAGCGCACGGGTCGAAAGGCGCACGGGTCAAAAAGCGCACGGGTCGAAAAACTCACCGGTCGAAAAGCGCACCGATTGAAAAGCGCACCGGTCGAAAAGCCCACCGGTCGAAAAGCGCACCGATCGAAAAGCGCACCGGTCGAAAAGGGCACCGGTCGAAAAGCGCACCGGTCGAAAAGCGCACCGGGCGAATACCGCACGGGTCGAAAGGGGCACGGGTCAAAAAGCGCACGGGTCGAAAAACTCACCGGTCGAAAAGCGCACCGATTGAAAAGCGCACCGGTCGAAAAGCGCACCGATCGAAAAGCGCACCGGTCGAAAAGCGCAACGGTCGAAAAGCTCACCGCTCAAAAAGAGCACCGGTCGAAAAGCGCACCGGTCGAAAAGCGCACCGGTCGAAAAGGGCACCGGTCGGAAAAGGCACCGGTAAAAAAGCGCACCGGTCGAAAAGCGCACCGGTCGAAAAGCGCACCGGACGAAAAGGGCACCGGTCGAAAAGGGCACCGGTCGAAAATGGCACCGGTCGAAAAGCGCACCGGTCGAAAAGGGCACTGGTCGAAAAACGCACCGGTCGAAAAGCGCACTGGTTGAAAAGAGCACCGGTCGAAAAGGGCACTGGTCGAAAAGCGCACCGGTCAAAAATGACACCGGTGGAAATCACACCGGTCGAAAGGCGCACCGGTCGAAAAGGGCAGCGGTCGAAAAGGGCAGCGGTCGAAATGCGCACCGGTCGAAAAGGGCAGCGGTCGAAAAGGGAAGCGGTAGAAAAGGGCAGCGGTCGAAATGCGCACCGGTCGAAAAGCGCACCGGTCGAAAAGCGCACCGGTCGAAAAGCGCACGGGTCGAAAAGCGCACGGGTCGAAAAGCGCACCGGTCGAAAAGGGCACCGGTCGAAAAGGGCACCGGTCGAAAAGGGCACCGGTCGAAAAGCGCACCGGTCGAAAAGCGCACCGGTCGAAAAGCGCATGGGTCGAAAGGCGCACGGGTCGAAAAGCGCACGGGTCGAAAAACGCACCGGTCGAAAAGCGCACCGGTCGAAAAGGGCACGTGTTGAAAAGGGCACCTGTCTTTAAACTGCACCGGTCGAAAAGGGAACCGGTCGAAAAGGGCACCGGTCGAAATGGGCACCGGTTGAAAAGGGCACCGGTCGAAAAGGGCACCGGTCGAAAATGGCACCGGTCGAAAAGCGCACCGGTCGAAAAGGGCACCGGTCGAAAAAGGCACCGGTCGAAAAGCGCACCGGTCGAAAAGCACACCGGTCGAAAAGCGCACCGGTTGAAAAGGGCACCGGTCGAAAAACACAACGGTAAAAAAGGGCACCGGTCGAAAAGGGCACCGGTCGAAAAGGGAACCCGTCGAAAAGGGCACCGGTCGAAAAGCGCACCGGTCGAAAAGCGCACCGGTCGAAAAGCGCACCGGTCGAAAAGGGCACCGGTCCAAAAGGGCACCGGTCGAAAAGGGCACCGGTCGAAAAGCGCACCGGTCGAAAAGAGCACCGGTCGAAAAGCGCACCGGTCGAAAAGCGCACGGGTCGAAAGGCGCACGGGTCGAAAAGCGCACGGGTCGAAAAACACACGGGTCGAAAAGGGCACCGGTCGAAAAGCGCACCGGTCGAAAAGCGCACCGGTCGAAAAGCGCACGGGTCGAAAGGCGCACGGGTCGAAAAGCGCACGGGTCGAAAAACACACGGGTTGAAAAGCGCACTGGTCGAAAAGCGCACCGGTCGAAAAGGGCACCGGTCGAAAAGGGCACCGGTCGAAAAGGGCAACGGTCGAAAAGCGCACCAGTCGAAAAGGGCACCGGTCGAAAAGGGCACCGGTCGAAAATGGCACCGGTCGAAAAGCGCACCGGTCGAAACGCGCCCCGGTCGAAAAGCGCACCGGTCGAAAGGCGAAGGGTCGAAAAGCGCACGGGTCGAAAAACGCACCGGTCGAAAAGCGCACCAGTTGAAAAGCGCATCGGTCGAAAAGGGCACTGGTCGAAAAGGGCACCGGTCGAAAAGGGCAGCGGTCGAAAAGCGCACCGGTCGAAAAGCACACCGGTCGAAAAGGGCACCGGTCGAAAAGGGCAGCGGTCGAAAAGGGCAGCAGTTGAAAAGGGCACCGGTCGAAATGCGCACCGGTCGAAAAGGGCACCGGTCGAAATGGGCAGCGGTCGAAAAGGGCACCGGTCGAAAAGGGCACTGGTCGAAAATGGCACCGGTCGAAAAGCGCACCGGTCGAAAAGGGCACCGGTCGAAAAACGCACCGGTCGAAAAGCGCACCGGTCGAAAAGCACACCGGTCGAAAAGCGCACCGGTTGAAAAGGGCACCGGTCGAAAAACACAACGGTAAAAAAGGGCACCGGTCGAAAAGGGCAACGGTCGAAAAGGGCACCGGTCGAAAAGGGAACCCGTCGAAAAGGGCACCGGTCGAAAAGCGCACCGGTCGAAAAGCGCACCGGTCGAAAAGCGCACCGGTCGAAAAGGGCACCGGTCCAAAAGGGCACCGGTCGAAAAGGGCACCGGTCGAAAAGCGCACCGGTCGAAAAGAGCACCGGTCGAAAAGCGCACCGGTCGAAAAGCGCACGGGTCGAAAGGCGCACGGGTCGAAAAGCGCACGGGTCGAAAAACACACGGGTCGAAAAGGGCACCGGTCGAAAAGCGCACCGGTCGAAAAGCGCACCGGTCGAAAAGCGCACGGGTCGAAAGGCGCACGGGTCGAAAAGCGCATGGGTCGAAAAACACACGGGTTGAAAAGCGCACTGGTCGAAAAGCGCACCGGTCGAAAAGGGCACCGGTCGAAAAGGGCACCGGTCGAAAAGGGCAACGGTCGAAAAGCGCACCAGTCGAAAAGGGCACCGGTCGAAAATGGCACCGGTCGAAAAGCGCACCGGTCGAAAAGGGCACCGGTCGAAAAAGGCACCGGTCGAAAAGCGCACCGGTCGAAAAGCACACCGGTCGAAAAGCGCACCGGTTGAAAAGGGCACGGGTCGAAAAACACACGGGTTGAAAAGCGCACTGGTCGAAAAGCGCACCGGTCGAAAAGGGCACCGGTCGAAAAGGGCACCGGTCGAAAAGGGCAACGGTCGAAAAGCGCACCAGTCGAAAAGGGCACCGGTCGAAAAGGGCACCGGTCGAAAATGGCACCGGTCGAAAAGCGCACCGGTCGAAACGCGCCCCGGTCGAAAAGCGCACCGGTCGAAAGGCGAAGGGTCGAAAAGCGCACGGGTCGAAAAACGCACCGGTCGAAAATGCGCACCAGTTGAAAAGCGCATCGGTCGAAAAGGGCACTGGTTGAAAAGGGCACCGGTCGAAAAGGGCAGCGGTCGAAAAGCGCACCGGTCGAAAAGCGCACCGGTCGAAAAGGGCACCGGTCGAAAAGGGCAGCGGTCGAAAAGGGCAGCAGTTGAAAAGGGCACCGGTCGAAATGCGCACCGGTCGAAAAGGGCACCGGTCGAAATGGGCAGCGGTCGAAAAGGGCACCGGTCGAAAAGGGCACTGGTCGAAAATGGCACCGGTCGAAAAGCGCACCGGTCGAAAAGGGCACCGGTCGAAAAACGCACCGGTCGAAAAGCGCACCGGTCGAAAAGCACACCGGTCGAAAAGCGCACCGGTCGAAAAGGGCAGCGGTTAAAAAGGGCACCGGTCGAAATGCGCACCGGTCACAATGCGCACCGGTCGAAAAGCGCACCGGTCGAAAAGCGCACCAGTTGAAAAGGGCACCGGTCGAAATGCGCACCGGTCGAAAAGCGCACTGGTCAAAAATCACACCGGTCGAAAAGGGCAGCGGTCGAAAAGGGCAGCGGTCGAAATGCGCACCGGTCGAAAAGCGCACCGGTCGAAAAGGGCAGCGGTCGAAAAGGGCAGCGGTCGAAAAGGGCAGCGGTTGAAATGCACACCGGTCGAAAAGCGCACCGGTCGAAAAGGGCACCGGTCGAAAAGGGCACCGGTGGAAAAGGGCAACGGTTGAAAAGGGCACCGGTCGAAATGCGCACCGGTCACAATGCGCACCGGTCGAAAAGCGCACCAGTTGAAAAGG